GTTTTTTTACTGTTCTGTTTTGTTTAACACTTGCATTTAATCTACATTTTTGTGTAAATTGCTACATTTGAGTCGAGTTTGACCTCTGTACCTCTACATGTCCTATGGAAAGCTATTAGGCTAAACAAACAAGGTGGTATTGATGATGAAGAAGTTCAAAAAATGGTCCATGAATTTGTAAATGATTGGGCCTAATGTCTTATTATTTTATGCATTTGTCATTGTATTTGAACTCTCCTTTAATGACCTTTGAGTTTATGTTATGTTTATTGTAGGAAACCCTTTCACAGGTCACTCTAGAGGCTGAGTCTGAATCAACAACCCGAAACGATATACTCTCTCAAGTACTTGGTGTAAGAGAGTATGCAGGTCGTGTGAGAGCTGTAGGTTTTGGAGTGACATAAAAATCTACATTTGAGCCAACACCTTCATATCCATACCCATCATCTATCGAATGGCAAAACATGAAGCATTGTGTAGCGTATTTGACTAATGTAGTGGCACAATTGACAGAAGGTTAAGAATTGTCCTCATTCATGTCAAGTCAGATGTCGTTCAACCCTAATCCCTCCCCATCATCATGTATTCCCTTTCAATATTGCTCCACAAATACAATCAATGGCAGAGGTAGGTCCTCAAACGCCTGCAGATGAATCTTCTAATAGCCATAGAGGCAACAACACACTAATTACATATGTTAAGATTCTAGAGGCATTTATGCTCCACTAAATCATTATTTACCTGTTAATGTTTACTGCTTTTTTTTAATTAGAAAAGAATATAACAAATTTGTTTTGTAGGGTAACATTACTGTATTCTATACTTGAACACTCCTTTTCGCGTGGTTGCAAAAAGGAGAGTATATCATATAATGGTTTGAGACTCCTTACACAATATGACTTTTCCTTCAAAGCTTGGTAAGGTTTCAGTAGAGGTAGTGCAACGACATGAGGAAGAGTCTGCATTGCCTGTCTTAAATGAACAAGTAACCTAATTTGTCTGAGAGATGTCATTGGTACTTTTGTTGCTTGGCAATTGTCCCTAATTACTTTAAGACCCAAGGTATGTATGCAAGCTTCTTTATAGTTTGAAAGACTGGATGTAATAGTACATATATATTCTGTTTAGGTACATAAATAAGTACTTTGATATGTTTCAGGTTGCCTCTTCATCAAGTAAAGGGTTAGGGAAAGAGATAGGCTACTCAAAAGAGTCGATTATTGGTCCATCCAATAAAGGTAGTAGTGCTTGTCATTCACAAGAGATTCTTGAGTTGGCACAAGCCTAGGGTGCTATATGCGTGGATATGATGAAGCTTTTTGTGAGAAGTGATCAAGTCATTGATACAGCTACAATTCATATGACAACTGAACACTGGTAAAAAGAGCTTTATGAGACATTGTGGGGAATGAAAACATTTTAGAGGTCATACGTTGACAATGGTTGAATGCCTCTAGCATTAACCTTTACATATGGTAAATTACTTTACAAATTATGTAATTCTATAGCAAATTAACTTATTGTTTATTTCATTGTATAATGCATTTCAATTCTTTTTTTGCATTACAAGATATTTGTGTGAAGCTTACTTGCGTGAGACAAATAAGACAAGTAGATTCTCATTTATATTTTCGTACGAAATGGACAAAAAGCTCAATCCAAACCCACATCAACATATAGCTGAAATGTTGAAGCGTTATATGGGTGAAGATCACTTGATTTTTTCATCTTACAATGTTGGGTAAGTCAATCTAATTGAGCATTGCTTTATGTTTTATAATTTAGCATATAATTTTTAATTCTTGTAATCTTAAACATATATTTATACTCTTGGTATTATGTGGATCCTCTTCGCAAGCAACTGAAGACCAGAACACATATGCAGAACCTATTTAATAAGTAAGCATACATTTATGTCGAACAACTATGATTAATGTTAAGTGGTTCAAATGTATCTAACTTCTTTCATGCACCATTGTTAGTGCTCTTAAAGCAGAGAGAGAAGTGCAACCCTTTAGGACAAAGATGTATCAAACAAGTTAGGTCATTGTACAGGTAACACTATGATACAATGTATTTCAAATTTTCAGGTTAATATTAATTACACTGTCTATCTCTCTGTGTTAATGCTGATTTATTTATTTTTATCTTCCACACAGTGTTAGAAACAAACAAATAATGACGATTGTGCATATTATATGTGTCTATTCATTGGGGATGCTTTGCATCATGGACAAACTATAATATCAATTAATGTAAGACCCTTCCATATGCTAAACCAGTATCACAAAACCTATTTCATCATGTTAACTGTCTGCCATGTGCTTATTATTTAACTTAATTAATTAAGCTTTGTGTTTTATTATTTTGTCTTTTATTATTTTGTCTTCAGTATTTTTCAGAGTTTCAGATGCTAACTTTTCTTGATAATAGAATTCATCCAATGTAAAAGGAGTGATGTATATATATCTGTACCACAGATATTTAAAGGACACATCATAGTATTTTTTTTTAACAAGACTTAGATAATTTTCTTTCAAGGCATTAGGAAAAAAAGTGTATATATGAGATTATTTTTCTCCTGTCAATGTAAACTCTGTGATTGTAATTTTTACAGATGCAAGACATTAAGTCTTCAGTATTACATTTGATTTGTAATTAAATAATGTAATATGCAATTGCTTTGAAGTTATGGTATATCAGGCTCTATTTGTAATTTCTATTCTAATTGCACTAGTTCTGAATACTACATGATTTATCAGTTATACTAAAATTTGAAATAATGGCAGTTTTAATAAAAAAAATTAAATAAATTTTCTTAACTTTGGAGAACGGTTCACGAGCAACTGTTTTGCAAAGTCCACTTCTGAAAGCGGTTCACTCATTAACTGCTTTTAGAAGTATACTTAAGAAAACGATTATGGGTACTTTTGAAAGCGGTTAATGGGTGAACCGCTCTCAGAAGTGGACTTGCAGAGCGGTTACAGAAGAGTCGCTCTCATAAGTTCAAGATTAGAGAGCCGTTAGTTCTAAATCGCTTTCTTTGATCCAGCTTTTGTGAGCAGTTTCACATTGAACCACTCTCCAAAACGTCATGTATAGAGAGCGGTTATGCAATTAATCACTCTCTTAAGTGTACTTCTGAGAGTGGTTAAGCTCGGAATTGCTCTCCAAAATAAATATTTGAGAGCGGTTATTTATACTTTACTAGAAATAAGCTTTTGAAACGCTAACTTAGATAGCAGTTAGTAAAAATCGCTTTGTAACAATACTTTAGAGAGCGATTAGTGTTGAACTGCTCTCAAATCTATACTTTTGAGAGCGGTTCTCCATTAACCGCTTTCTAAAGTCATATATTAGAGAGCGGTTAATAAAGAACCGCTCTCTAAAGTCGTTCTTGGAGAGCGGTTAATAAAGAACCGCTTTTTAAAGTCTTTAACTTTTATAAATGAAACACGTTCACGCTCAACTCATGAATCTCTTTGTCTTCCTAACAAAGTTGGTGTATTTGTTCTCTTTCACGTTTGTAGGTTCTCTTCATCTTCTATATTTTCACAATTCTTCGTTCATTTGTAGGTACTTTTTTTACAGTTCTTCTCATTCTTTCTTTCTTTCTTTTTCTCTTTATTAACGGTAAACTATTCATTCTCTTTTTCTTTCATTTTCTCTTTGTTAACGATGAATTATCTTATTAATTTGTTCTCTTTTTCTCTGTTTACTGTTTGGTTTGTGCAGATATGGCTGTTTGATTAACATAACGTATGGACTCAAGATTCAATTTTGATTTGTGATAAAAATGAAAAAAATTTGATTGTCAGACTTGTAAATTAAAATTTAAATATAACAATAAATTAATTTTAGTTTGCTATAGAAAACTCGCAAATAAATAAATTTCAAATTTTAGATTTCTGTTTAAATTCATATTTTGGAGAGCGGTTCTGCGTGGAACCGCTATCTAATCTTACACCCATTGGAACCGCTCTCTAATCTTAACATGTAAGAGCGGTTATTTAACTGCTTTCCTAAATGTAATATATTGGATAACAAGAGATTTTAGAGCAGTTCTAAACGCTCTATAATTTAAAACGGAACTGCTCTCTTATCTCATTTTTGGCGTAGTGTTAACCACTCTTTTAAATTCAAGACATTGCATAGCTCAAGATTTTATAACACTTATAACTGTTTTTTAATTATGTTCAACCAGAACCGCTTTAATATTTTATTTCTGGCGTAGTAAAAGTCCTGAATAATTACAACACAATTTTTTTCTTTTTTTCTAAAAATCAACTTCCAAAGAAAAGCATTTAATTTTATCTTTAGTCTTTTCAGTAAACTGATATTTTTGGATGAAGTTCACTGATAAGCTGTGATTTGCATATTAATCAATATGCAAATACAATGAAAAACAATAGCACACATTCGATGAACTAACTCACATTTTATTTTTAAAACATGTTAAAATTTTAAAACAATATTATTATTATATTAGACATACACAAAATATTATATTGTTTATATTTATTCAAATAGATTGATGATTTGCTAGATTAATTTGTTTTTAAACAACCTAAACCTACTTTAACTAAATAACACTTTAAAAAACAATTGACTTTCCTTTTTATAGATAGATCTGAACTGACTTGAGGTACATCGACGTAATGCAAGAAAATCGTTATGGTGTTATGCGTGAATCTAGTGAGAAGTAATATAGTGCGAGTTCATAAATATGTTGAAAAAAATAAATAAATATAGGTTTGCTGTAAAACTTATAATTAATGTCTTGAAATAAACATCGTTATGCGTGAATCTAGTGAGAATTCGAAAGTTGAAGATAAATTTAAAAAAAAAAATGTAAAAATAAGTTAAGATAAAAAGCCATGACCTGCAGTTTGTAGTAGTGGTAATAAACTGCAAGGCCTGGTAGATTTTATTAATTTATTGGCACACACGAAGACCATACATGAAAACAAAGCCTCAGTGGCTTTATTTCCTACGTTAGTTTATTCTTTAAGAGCTTCAGGTTCAGTTTCAAATGAGTGATGACAGGGTTCATAGCAGAAATTGGTTATGTCAGCGCAATGGCACTTTGGTGGCTCTGAACGCGTGCAAAAACAGTGTTTGCAAGCCAAGTGGCAAGTTTTGCCAACATCAGCACAACGGCAAAGGGGAGGGATTGATTTGGTGCAGAAGCATTTGTCACAACACGCTTTTGTTGTAGATTTTACGTAGTAATTGGCATCATCGTTGGGAAATATTTCAGGGATGAAGGAACTTGGATCGAACCCATGAGCATCCACGCTTGCACTCAACAGTCCCATCAAGAAAAGCATCAAAGCCACGTTCACCACCATCACTTTCTTCTTCAACTCCATCTCTCTGTATATCTCTCTCCTTTTCTCTTGTCAAAATCTCAACAGCTACCAGGTCTATTTATAATTGGATTTTGGTGGAGTGTAGATAAAGATGATGACTTGTTATAATGTTTATTAAGTATACATATAGTTAAATTAATGTCATAATGTATGTCCTTAAGCACATGTTATAAGAAATTAATTTTCAATTATGCTTGTTATATGTCGTCATGCAATAAGATATGACCTTTGAAGAGTTGTTAGTTTGTCATAAGCTAGCGTTTCATAATAAAATATGGTATTTGTACGATTTTTATTATAATTTATAAAAATAAGAAGACAAGAAACATAAGTAACGATAAAACATATGATGTGATAAAGGACGCTTATTTTTTATATAAATATTATAACCCTTCATAATTGATGACCAATCTTTTCATAATTAGTTTATGAGGTTGATGTTTTTGTGCATCATGGAGGAATTTTTTGGAGAGATGTCTTTCCTATTTCATGTTTTGACAATTATGATAAGGAAGGAGGTAAGAACCGAGGAAGGAAATGTAAAATGAGGTGTGTGTGATAAAAAAATAAGAGTTGTTTTATATTAATTGAGTTATTCAATGCACAAGTTATTATTTAATTTTTTATTTTATTTCATATTTATTAATTACTAAACGCGTATGAAGTTATTTTAACTCAATTTTTTTTTATCTTACTCAACTTAAAGAAGATTAACTCATGGTATGATAAAAATAATATATATATATATATATATATATAATTAAAATATTTAATAAACCTATCAATTACGATTTTTTAATAAAAATTATTTGATTTTTAATATTTTAATGAATAATCTTAAGTTAATAATTAATATCTACTTTATATTAATAAATATAGTGAGATGAAGGTCTTGGGAACTTGTCCCTCGTGACCCACGTTGCATGTTGCGTTAAACAAGTCTGCACAAGGGGAAAAAAAAAAGACAATTTGAAAGTTTCTTGAATTATGTCCAAATTGACATGATGACTGTGACTACGACGAGGACCATTGATGTAAGAGAGCTATTAATGTAGGCCTCTTGTTTTTTCTAAGTCGGCAAAAGTTAAATATTAAGATCAAATGAGAGTTTGAATAAAATATTTTAATTTTTAAAAAATTAAAAATATTATGTTATTTTTTTAATTTTTAAACGTAGATTTTGTTAATAAATAATAATAAAAGATTAATATAACATATTAAGTGTCATATTAAAAATTTAATTAACAGAAATAATATTATTTTGAAAGATTAAAAAAATAAACGTAGCAAAATAATTTTAATTGATAAAAATAGTGTTGTTATAAAAATTTAAAAGTGACCTAATTATTTAAATATTATAATATATATTTTTTTATTATTTCTTTTTTTTACAGAATCTCATCAAAATTAATTTTTATAATTATATTTAATATTGAAAAATTTAAGATTGAAGTTTGTTATTCTTAAAAGAAGAAAGCATAAAAGATTCAATAATTATTTTTTTTAATTTATTATAAGTTATTTTCTATTATTTAGATAAGTAATAGAATCTTAAATTTTTGTGCATTTTTAAAAACAATGAATTCTAACTATTTTCTTCCTTTTCCATCGATATTAATGTAATTTTTAAAAAATATTTTTTTTTTGATTTGTGATAAGAAAATGGTAGTATAATAGAAAGTAATCACCTATATTTATTTCAATTTTTTGTTTTTAAAGAAAAATAATAATATGAATGAAGATAGTCTTCTTTTTGTATACATAACTTTTATTATTTATTCGTTAAATTGGTTTAAAATTTGTAAAAGATTTTTAATTTTTTTTAATAATTTCATCTTTGTCAATACAAATAATATTTTATATTTACCATGAAAAAAAAATTATTAAAAAAAATAGGATTACGAAAGAGTATTAGGGAGATAAAATTAAAGTTTAAGTTGATATTAAAAAGACATAATATATATTTTTAACTATATAAACTTTAGCAAGATAATGGAGTATTTCACCCACCTAAAAAATATTTTCTAATTAGACTATACTAAATAGTTTAATAAAAGTTTAAATTTATTAAAATATAATGCTGATGTCTTGAAAATAGTAGTAGTTACTAAAAAGAATATATTATAAACATGAGATTGCTAAACTATAATTGCTCAATAAGAATAAAATTAAACTATTGAAAGGCCTAAAAGTTGAAGAACTAATAATGGAATAAGATATTGAAGTTGAAGATATTATAATATAAAAAAAAGTAAAAATTAAATAAAAAAAGTAAAAATTGAAGATATAACAAGAAAAGGAGTACCTAAAAAAGTTGAAAAGAAAAAAAAAGTATAAAAAAAAGAAAAGTATATGGAAAAAAAAAGTACCTGTAGTAAATTAAACAAAAAATAAAATAAAAAAATTTAAAAAATAGAAAAGAAAAGATAAGTGTGAGTATGCTACATCAAAACAAAAACAAAAACAAAATAACATAAAAAAAAGAGAAAAGCAAGTATGAATTTGCTACATTAAAAAATAAAAAACAAAATAGTATAGAAAAAAAGAGAAAAAAAATAAAAAAAGACAAAAAAAAACTTATATTAATGAGAAAGATTATTTACATAAAAAATATTTTAAAAATATTATAGAAGATGTAAAAAATATGAATCATAAAAAAAAATATTTAAAAAACTCATAAAAGTCTAAAGAATTAATAATTCTAAAAAATTCAGATAATAAAGATAATAACAAATAATTTTTTTTCCAATTTAATAAATTTGTGAAATTTAAAAAATGTGAACTGAAGTTTTAAAGTTTAGAATACTTACGAAAAAGTGTTAAAAATTATACAATCTAAATAGAAATAGAAATTAAATGGATAAAAAATGATCAAATAAAAACAAGAGCCAAATATAAGAAAGATTATTTATAATTATTTTATTCTACCATTATTATCTTAAATTGGTGACATATTCAAATATTTTATTATTATTTTATTTTATAATATGTAAAAAGTTTACTTTTAAAACATATTATTCTAAAAATTTAAATAGCATATATTATTTATAAAAACAACAAACGGATACAAAACTTATGAATAAAAAGAATATGTTAACAAGTGCTTTAAGATATTAGTTAAAAAATAATAATGATATTTTTACTTAAAAATTATATTAAAATTACATTAAAATTATGACATAATGAAGTTGAAGGATAGAGTTCTTCCAAAGTGAAAAGATGGACATAATGAATAATTGACAGTAAGCTTCCCTGGATGCCTGAAACCGAGTAGATTGGTGGGGTGAAAGTTTTTGCAAACTTTTTAAATAATATTTTTAAGTAACAAATATAAATAATTAATATTGTTTTTACAAAATTTTGTTAATATAATTAATCAAAAGTAGTTAGTATAATTACAAATACCTCTAATTATCAAATAGAACCAATCTATTAAAAATTATTCACATTTATACATTCAAACGGCTAAAGTAAAACCTTTATTCAGTTTGATGTAATTATACAAGACAACCATTAATTTATGGTTATTCTTTCCTACTTATCTCCTTATTGCTGTCCAATTTCCCCATTTGATTTTCTTGAGGCTCTTTCTTTGATCCGAAAATGTACTCTTTGACACTGCTCTCTGCTGAAAGCATTCCCTTCTTAATCTGCAATTAAGAAATTGTACATTAGATTAAAAAAAGAAAAAAACACACTAATTGCAAACCCTAGAAACAAAGCTTAAGTGGCCCTTTTGTGAAATCAACAAAGTAACTATTTAGACACTTGCCACTGCAGCACTAGCAACAGCTGCAGACTTCACAGCTCTATAAGCTGTTCAACGGATCCGGATTCAGTGAAGTAACTGCACCGTCCCATTACGTGATTTTTTATTTTCGCTTAAGCCCTTGTATTTTTGCTTAAGCGAAAATGTAAAATTTTGCCTAAATGCAGGGTGCAGTTTTTGCGCAGACTGCACTGAATCCGGATCCGCTGTTCAACAAGGTTCCCTCGATTTTGTTACAGAAGGTGGATAGCTAGCTACCAAATTGAGGAAATTGACTACTATATACTGTTAGCAAAATAGTTTCTACGTATATAAACTTTCTAATTCACAACTTTGCCAGACAAGAATGCACCTACTCTGTAAGTTTCTCTAATTTGAAATTTACAACAGACAACTAAAGCAAGATGCAAATGCAGTCATATGACTAATGAGAAACACGTTGTAAACCTTTTGTCCCATCAAATTTCCAATGAAAATCCAGAACAATTCAGCATGCTGAATGCATGAAATTCTTTTTTTTTGTTTTTTTTGGGAGTTTGGAAAGAGAGAAAAAAAAAGTTTTGAAAGGTAAAGCAGGAGAAGGAAAGAGAAGGGGAAAGAGGGTTAGGAAAGAGGGTTAACACAAAATTTATCTCCATTTTCCATCTAAGAACTCACAAAAGCATTTAATTTTATCTGTAGGCTTTTAAGTAAACTGATATATTTTTGGATGAAATTCACTGATAAACTGTGATTTGCAAATACAATGAAAAACAACAGCACACATTCGATGAACTAACTCGCCAAAATTCGTGGAGGACAAGAATTCTTAATTGGAAGCATGAATTTTACAACAACTAATAAGGAAAACATAGGGAATCAAAATAACCAGAAACATAATATTCACTTTGAGACATCAAAATCAAACAATCTCATGGCCTTAATCTCTGTTGGGTAGCTGAGAAATCAAAGAATAATAATAATAAAAAAAAGAATATAAACCCAGTTGTACAAAGGTTTTAAATTTGTGAATACTAACGGATGAATCATGAACAGGAGGGGAGAGAGAGTTACAGGGTCTAGAAGTGTAGGTTCGGAGCCATAATCAGCAGTTAAGAGAAAATATGAAGCAGTTATAGTTGCCACCATCGTTACTCTTCTCACCACCTTGTCTGCTTGTGGATTCATCGTACGTTTCTTGCTCCCTATGTTCATTCAAGAGTATTTATGATACTGTAGGAAACGGTGTAGAAGTTTATGGAAGAATCAAGATCGTTTCTGTAATTTGTATTGTTTAGGAAATTATCAGAGGATAAATATCAAATATCATAATTCATGTTATTGCCGTTTTGTACATGAACTCTGAATAAATTTAAGAACATAACTTACTAGTTGTTATTTAGGTACTATTATTTATTAATTTAAATATATTTAATATTATTATATATTAGTAAAAGAACATTCTAATTTTAATCATTAAAAAAATTAACAACATTTTAAAAAATTGTATTTACATTTTGTCTTAAATTTAACATTGTTGATTGCATTTCATCTTGTTCTCTTTCATTTATTTATAGGTATTACTTATGGAAAAATAACGATATTTATATAGTTTGGAGATATATTTTTAAGTCTTTATTTTATTTTAAAAGTATATTGTTAAAATGTTATAAATTAAAAATATAAAAAAATTATATATAATATTAGTTTTTAATAATTTAAATAATAAACTTACTTCTTTTTAATCCTGAGTCTTTGTGCCCGGTACGGCATCAAGGGATAGATTTTAAATTTGAGTATATCTTAAATAATTAAAAAAATAAAAATAGAGGAGGGTAAAAGGAAATCTATATTTATATAATTACATACAAAACACTGAATGAACATTTATTATGGGCCTACAATTGCAAAATGGAAGATATGCATGACATTACAAAATTAAAAATACTATGTGAATTTTGCTAGTGATAGGAGTATTAATTATGTTATCCTTTAAAGATGTGTCACATGATTAAAAGCAACACATGACATATGATATTACACGTGTGGCGTCTAATAAGTATATTATATGAACAACATAAAAAAATAGTCCATGTTACCAAAGTTTGAAGCATGAAATAATGTCACAAAAAATATCAACTCAAACTTGTTATTTTTGTGTAACATATGGTTTTAAAAGTGTAGCGCCTAGTGAATGATGTAGAATATGATTATTTAATCAGAATACTGTTGGCTCAAATTTGTTTTTCTTCTCTTTTGTGTAATTTTTTGTGAATCCCTTCATAAAACATATGTGGCGATTGAAGCACAAGTCTTTTCCCAAGGATTAATGATGGTACTTATTAGTATTTATTAATGATGTATCATTTAAAAAAATATTTTTTTAATGTATTTAATGGTACATGATTATGAAGTAAAAAATAATATTTTTTATTAAAATTATAGTATTTAATAATGTTATTATAATATTTTATTTTTTTGTATGTTGTTAGTTATATATTATTTTTTTAAATAACTGCTAACGTGACATAAGTTATGTCATGTTACAATTAAACGATAATAAATACATTTTTGAAAATAGCAACAAAAAAAAACATTTTTAAAAATTTTAAATTTTATGAATATTAAATTTACCAAATTTTAAATATTAAAACTAAAAAACTGAAAAGAAAACTTTTGAAAATTTTGAATTGGAAAAAACCGTTGTTTAAAACCACAGAAGAGAAGAAAAAGCGAAGAGCTTTGCTTGGTGCATTCATCGAGTGAAGAATTGTGGAGGAAGAGGACGAGGTAGAGGAAGAATCAATGGAAGAAGTGAAAGCTCCAACAACGAAGAAGAGGCCATTGGACTCTGATTCCCACTCCAATTACCATAAGATTCGTGCTGTTATTCGTGATCTTCGTCCCCACTTTCTCCAGGTTTTACTTTTCCATTGCTAACTTCGTATTTTAACTCCTCTTTTCTTTTCTTTTCTTTTCTTTTCTTTTTTTAAATTGAATTTACGGCTAAATTGGTCTGAAAAGTTTTTAATTTGATTTTGTCTTGTTAATTTTGTTACTCTTTTATGTTATAGAGGACTACTGCTAGGGTTTCTGATGGTTTTGGCAAAAACAATGAAAGAAGGGTATTTTTTATTTATTTCAAGTAAATAAATTTTGATTTAAAAGTATTTTAGAATTAAAGGAATAAAGCGTTACATTATAAGAAACCTTCATATGATCCCTTGTTCATTTTTTATAAACATTATGTAACCCTCTTAATTCAAAAATAGAAACTCAATCCTTCTTGCTTTGTTCCGCCAAAACCCTACATCCAAATATGTTTTGATATTTTCATGGGTTATTCATAAGGTACTGGGAATTGGGGTAAATGTGTAATGTGTACCAGATCCAAATTATAGGACATTGTTCATTTTGTACCACAAATTAATTTGAGAAGTTCAAAATGAAAATAGTTACAAGGAGTATTAACAAATTCTTGAACTAGAAATAGAAAAGTCTAAAATTTGCTTAGAGTAATCTTGCAACTGTTTCAGCTGTGACGGTGAATGAATTTATTGGTGAGAGTGTGAGAGACTTCTCATTGAGGCTGAATGTGTATGTGTATTGTAAACTCGTTACTAACTTGATTAGGAACCAGATTATTTGAGTTTAATTTGATTTAAGGGAAATGATTGAAAGGATGAGGATATTTGAGTCTTGTTGTATTTTCTGGATGTGAGCTAATCTAATGAAATGAAGAGATATGTCTGGTCATGTTAATTTTCTTTTTGGTGGTCTGAGCATACACTTGAAATTAAACGGTATACTTTAAAGGCCCTCCATTTTCTTGCTTTGAAGCACAGGGTACAGAGTACAGTTAGAAATAAGAATAGATGGATGATTGATTGTGTAGCAAGTTAATGAAAGATATGAATGTCTGTGTCAGCGACAATCCATTTATGATATACTAAATTTGAAGCACAGGGTTTGGAGTTGCCAAGTTAATTTCTTTCCAGTCTTATAACTTCTCACGCTCCTCATTTCTTGACTTTTTAACTTCCTTGAGCCACATTTGGTGTCTCCAATTGAATATAACTTCCATTACTAAGCTCTTGAATGCCAAGGCTATTCATTTGAAAGGGTCAAACAAGAAAGCAATTAAAGTGTGATAGTGTTCTAAGAGCTTTGCTTCAGTGATACCTGTGCTTCCACCTTACAATCATGGTATCATCATTGTTTGGACGTTGTCTTAGTTTTTTTTAATGCAAATTGTTATTAGTTCACATTGGCTAGTATAATTTATGCATATGCATCTTTTTCTTGGTTAAATTATTGACATCATTGTGAAGAAGAATTGGCGAGAGATTTGCAAATACCTATTTAAGGTCTCTTCCCTTCATCATCTCTGAAAAATTATCTTCCTTATTGTTGTTTTGTATTTAATTATAAATTTGTTTCCTTCAAACGAAGTTTACTGTATAAAAAAGGGCTTAATATGTGAATAAGCTTACGTAAAGCTTCATGTCCAATGATAAAGACCAGAAAAATCAAACAAAATTTCAATGTATCTCTTTTCCTTTATCCGGTTGTGTAAATTTTTTTTTTTTAATTGAAATATTGTATCAACTGTCTGACTGTTGCTGTTTGATCATGAAGGTTCTCCGAACTCCTGATTACAAAAATTGCCAGGCATCCCGTGAAATTCAAGAACGTAAGCTCATCTAAACGAAGTTATATTTTTTACTTGGTTGACCAATAATCAAATCATAATGCAAATGGTCTACTGCCTATATCAGTTATAATCCTTAGTGAAAATGGATAATCAATTGAATTTATGCCTATTTATATTACGGTTTGTCTACTGAATGGAGTTGGACATGTTAATGACTGACATGTATATAGCTAGAACCCTGGTTCCTAACCATGCCACCGTGTCTATGATCTCTGGTTGTTTAAGAATAGGTGGTGTAAAAAATACCACGTGGTAGCTTGAAATATGCTTTTGACTTCAACTTGTAACTACAGAGCTGAAGATTGTCATTAAATTCAATGACAAAATGAAAGCGGAATCGGTTTCACTAGGAAAATGTCAGAACGTTCAAGATGGCCAGACAAAGGCTAGCACTAACGTGGATCAAAAAACGCTGAAAGAGCAGCAGCCTCAACATGTCAAGTCTGCAGAACAGTCTCAAGTAGAGAAAGCATCTGCGCGGCCATCTGAAATTAAGCTTACTCCACCAGTTCCTGGTCTTCAGAAGCTGCAGGCTGAAGATGGTCAGACACAAGGGACGTATGTAGTTGGAGGATCAGCTTTTGGCTGGAATTTTATCATCTTTTCAGGCAAGGAGCCTGTCTATTATGGTAGGACAAAGGAACAATTTCGATCAGGAAAAGTGACAGAGTAATCAATCCTATAGAGCTCGAAACCCCCATTGGTTGATGGTGGATAGAATTATATATTGTACAAGTGGAACAATTTTTATTTTTTTTGGTTATGATTAAAACTTTTAAATTTACCAAGAGCTTGGCACGAATGCTGTAATATTTTTGCTGCTGGTAGTATTTCATCTTTGAATTCAGATCGTATTTTTCATTTAAAAATTGCAACGGTAAGTACCTAGTTATGTTGCTCCTTTACCATGTTTCATCAGCGTTATTATTCTATAGGATCTGGTGTGGAATTGACACCCAACTATGATGTTATTGTCAGTTTAATAATGCTATTTACATAAATTTTTCATCCCTTTCTCGTAAGATAATAAAATAAGGAAATGCACATTCTTTCTCTTCTATTATTATTAAGTTGAGAATTACCTGGTCGGTCTTGTTACCATATATGAGTGGTAAACGTTTAAGGAAAAAGTATTATAAGTATAAATCATTAAATATATTTATAAAAAATAAGGGTATCATAAACTCTAATTTAATGTGCGTAATTCCTAGTCAGAAAGTATATTTTTATTCACAGTCCGGCCTTCAAATGTTAGATTAATGATATTTCACGACATATGAAAGAGCTGAAAATATTGGTGTATACGAAGAGAACATTATATGCAGAAGGCGAATTATGTTGTTCTATATGGTGTTTCTGTTCAGCATGTCTGAAAGTTTGACACGTGTAAAAACATGCTTCACAATAATCAACAGTTTCTAACCAACTAACCTGTCACCATCATTATCCTCATCTTTTCATTCTTCTCTCACACTTATTCCACTCTAAACACATTGAAGAACATGGCAATGCATAATGCATTCATCTTCCTTCTTCTCTCTTTCACCCTCAACTCAAACCAAACCTTTCTCTTCCAACTTCACCCCAAACTCAAACCTCCTTCAAACACTACGCCCTCTTCTTATTCTTCTTCCCTCCAAACTCAAACTCAAAACCAAAACTCTCTCATTTCACAGACCCTCTTCTTCTTCATCATCTTTTTCAATAACCAACACCATAACAAGAATCTTACGTGTCATTCCTGATTGGGCTGATCATGTGAAAGAGCGTGGTGTGCAGCAGAACCGAACCCTTTACAACCATCACAATTGGGTTGAACACCGAAGCTCTCTTCGCCACGTTCGACATTTCCTCTCTAGCCTCTCTTCTCGTGTTGTCCTTTCTCTTGTGCCACCGGTGATTGTGTTTACTTCCTTCGCCACCATCATTGCCGGATACAATTCGGCTGTGTTGGAGCGATGGTTGCCGGAGTTTTTCCCAGTGCTGAAGGCCTCCTCCCTGAGCTATCAGCTGACAGCGCCAGCATTGGCGCTGTTGCTGGTGTTTCGAACCGAGGAAGCCTACGCGAGGTTTGTGGAGGGGAAGAAGGCTTGGACTAAGGTCATTGCGGGTGTGAATGATTTTGCAAGTGTGGTGATGGCAGGTGTTGATAATAATGCTGATGATTTGCATGTCAAGATGTCACTCTTGCATTACATCATGGCCTTTCCTGTTGCACTTAAGGTTGGGAAAATTAAGGTGCCATTTGTTTAATTATCAGTAAAATTAGAAAATAAAACAAGTTCTTGTGCTTTTATTTTGTGATGGATAATCAAATGACTGAATGGCCTTTCATTTTGACTTATTTTGAATTTTTAAAATATTATTTAGGTTAGTACTTGGTATAATGCAACTCATTGAACTTTGATAGTCTTTTTGAACAATTCAATGCAGTGTCATGTGTTGTATGGTTCGGATGTTAGGAGGGACCTCCAAAATTTGCTAGAAGTTGATGACCTACAGCTAGTGGTTGATTCGAAACACCCTCCTCGCTGTATTATTGAGTTCATCTCACAAAGCATAAAACTGCTAAAGTTGGAGGATTCAAGAAGAAATGTCTTGGTCAGCTCTGCTTCCTGTTATTTGCATTTAGTAAATCTTGATCTTGCTTTCTTTTCTATTTTCATCAATGTGGTCTAAGAAAGTATTTTGGCTGTTCCATTTTTTCTCATTTGTTTAACTGCGCTGTTAGAATACAAATTTGTGTGATCCCTTGTTTATTTATTAGGTAATAAAGTCATAAATATGGTATGTCAGAGAAATTTTTTTTTTCCGATTTAAAGTACTAAAAAATTAGGAAGTTTTTAGGTTTATCTTACTTTGAGCTTCAGCTTCACATTATATGATAATTCTTTATTTGTATAACACTTTCTTGATTGTGGTGTAGGAGTCAAAGATCTCTTGCTTCCATGAAGGAATTGGCATTTGTGAACAACTCTTGAGTATTCCCATACCACTATCATATACATACTTGACCTCAAGGTTTCTTGTCCTCTGGCATCTTACACTACCTATCATACTATGGGACGATTGTCATTGGATTGTGGTTCCTGCTACTTTTATTAGTGCTGCCTCCTTGTTCTGCATTGAAGAAGTATGTTCCTCTCCTTACCTTGTTATAATCTGCTAGGTAAACAAATTTCTTTCAAGTGATCATTGTAGAAACAATAAAACATAAATTAGAATGTTTGCAACAATGATTTTGATTTCAGAAGTTTTATGCTCTTGCTTCACGAAACTGAGGTTGCATTATGCAAATATTGCTAACATGTTGGAAGTAATCTTGAAGGTAACTGTTGTTGTAGTGGACTGGATACCCATAAGAATTTGAAGTTTGTATATAGGCAACAATGATCTTTAAGCCTGCATGTGTAACTGCTGTTTCTTTTATTTACACTGGCTAATTGTCAGTTTACTTCTTGATTATTGCTATGATTTTGGATTGGTGAATACCAATTCTGTTGATAATGTAAATTGACAATAGGATATCTTTATCCCAAAATCCAAATTAGACTTATTATTAATAAAATTACCTTGAAGGTTCCATCCAATGTCTGGTTAAAATTTTGAAGAACTGATTTTATAAGAATTGTAAGAGAAAAATTTATGTGTGCCTAAATGTTGGGTTTTATCATTTTGGACTATTGTTGCTAATTGAATTTGTGGAGAGTTGCCAAATAACACTTGGCTAAATCAATAATGCACCATTGTTGAATGGATTTTTGTAACGCTTGTCCTTGTTTTCTGGTGAGAAATCTAATTCAAGAATGTGAAAAATGATTACTGTAGGTTGGAGTTCTAATAGAGGAGCCATTTCCAATGCTTGCACTTGATGATCTCTGCAAAAAGGTCCACAAAGATATCCTGGAAGTAATTGCAACTGAAAATTTAATTCGAGATCAACTTGTAGCAAAGAGAAATAACTACTCTAAGGAGAATTCACAAAATGGCTGGCCTTACTCCTAGAAGAAAGGGGTATGAATGTATCTCCTAACTTATGCTCATGAAGTGGCTTTGTACATAGTACTGTCAGTCAAGCTGATTTCTAGGAATACATTCTTTTAAGTGATTACTCATCATGATCGTACCATATTTGCAGAAGTTCGAGAATTTCTTTTCACAAATTCACCAATAAAAAAGGGATTCACGGATTTATTATTGATCTGTATATATCCAAATCATGTAAATATAATCATTGTTTTAGGTTTTCTTTTTCCCGTTCGGCCTGTATATATAACACTACAACAAATTGTGTAATCGCAATAACTTGCCATCCTGAGATTGGATTTTTATTTAACTCATAATCTTTGAAGTTTTGTCTTCATTTATGCTGTACCCTGTCATCCTATGATTATTTTCTCAGAGCAGTTTTACAATATATGTTTTTAAGGAGATACAAATTTAGCAATGTCACATCATATATTAAATTTAAGATTTTGACCTTCATTTATGTAAACTGGGAACAATAGGAGGAAAATGGTTGACAATAGTCCAAGTTCTTTTGCTTTGAAAATTAAATGCAAACAACATAGAAACACCAAAGCAGATGTACCTTAAATTAATATAATAATAATAATAAGTGTATGTTCCCTTCAACGTAGGAGAAGTCAATTATGCTCACATCATAGTGGTTTGTCATTGGGATCTCATCCATATTAACATATCTAGAATAGAGATGTTTTATTTTTATTCAAAAGATGAATAACAGAACAATTGATGCCATTGTTCTTGAAAATCAAAGCCATTTCTCAATTCTTGGTGGAATATGAGGATTCACAAGATGAGAGTCCACATACGCCTTTAAGGTTCTCAAACAAACTAGCACTTGAAAGGTAGTTAAGCCTTCCTTGCAGCCAACAAGGACAATGACCATCACCAAAAGATGTAGATATTCACTCATCAAAGAATCACTTATTTAATAGACTCTGGAGCATGGAAAGTAGAAGCAATACAAACTACATGGAAAAGGGAGAATAAACTTAAAAACCTCTATGAAATAATCATATAGCAATCGTAAACTTTTATTATCCTAGAATTTATCAGCTCAACTATAGCAGAAATATATTCAATTCCTTTAGAGACCCTAAAATAAAGAAATAGCAATTGTAGAAATTGAACGCTAATAGCATAGTATAAGATGGCATTGAGTGAGTGAAGGTTGAAGTTCATGGGTACCCACCCATGAGTCCAGTTAAAATTTAAAATATCCCTCAAGTACAACACTTTGATCTGAGGCCTTGGACTGTAAATTTATCACTTCTATTCCTTGCTTTAAACTCTTCAATGGCATTAGAGAATCCATCTTAGAACATCCATTCCAAACTGGCAAAATTTCTGTCACAAATTTATTAAAGTATTTCTTCTCAATACCTTCCTTAGCAAGTTCTTCAAACTCGCTGAAATTCCCCCTAAAATCCAATAGGACACTGTTTAAACCTTGACGATTACAATAATCTAAGATCACATTCAGATTTATCTGATCCACAACAACAGTTTCAATTCCTTGTTGAGCCATATCTGGGGGTATCCTACTATCTGTTAGAAGCACCATATTACCAGTAAATTCATTGATGACTTGAGGAATTTGATAAGAACTAGTACATTTTTGTATTATAATGTGAAGTGCCTGATTGGCTCCAGGTTCTTCAGATGCAGGAACAAAGAAATCTTCACCGAACAAGGAAGAAGAAAGTACTACTGCATCATATTCTTGCAATAAACGCGAATAGTATTCCCCACAGTCCATCACTCCATCTCCTAGTATGTCCAAAAATTTCCCATCAACTGATAGAGAATATCTGCAATGCACAAGCACAATTCCTATGTATTTCTTAAGAATTATAAATGCAGGCTGAAAACCAAATTTAAAACTAACTCTAATGTGCATTCAAAAAACATAGAACAACCATACATGAATCTACGATGAAAAGCAAGTGAAAGTATCAACAGAAAGAAGTGATCTTGAATTACCTTAAAGTAAGGAAAGGACTTCCAGTTAACATATTATAAATGTAAGTCTCATTGAGGCTCTTGCATGATTCTTCCTCTACACCCACAACAACTTCAATTCCTGCATCTCTCAACCTAGCCACCCCTTTGTAGGCCACAACAGGATTTGGATCCACCATTCCAATCACAACTTTTTTCACTTTGGCTTTGATTAAAGCTTCAGTACAAGGAGGAGTTTTTCCAAAATGATTACAAGGTTCCAAGCTGATATATGCTGTAGCATTTTCTGCCAAATCACCGGCATCCCTCAAGGCAAACACCTGACAATTTTATTCACGGCTCAACATATTCAACAACGAACACAGATTCTCTATCTAAATTATGGGAACTAGTTCACGTAACGCATGTTCTCCAGAATATCAATTACTTTCTTCAGTGTCACAAATCATTATCTGGATTTGAAATATTAAACGTGGCAATGAAACATATATCTAAACGAAGTATGGATACTTCATTTTGTGAGATATACATGTATTTGGTACACACTAGGTAGTAGGTACATGTATGTTAAAACTATCACCTTTAACATTTTCTTTTCCTTGATTATATATGTTTTTCCAACAATCTAAATTTTTTCTATGCAATTTATATTATGTTTTGAAATTTATGTATTTTAAAATTATATTAACGTACAATTATCTTTAATTTTTGGAAATTAGCTTTAATTTTAGAAATTATTGTATGTCATACTGTATTTGTACCAAAATATCAATATATATATATATATATCGAGGTAACCAAGGAAACATTGAAAGATAACGAAAGGGTATATTATATATAGTTACAACTTGGAAGGAAATTTCAGTTTTCTAGAAATAATAGAAGAATTAGGTGTACCTCAGCATGAGGTTGGCCTGCTTTAGGGTTAAACCCTTCACCAACAATTTTCCCATCCTTTACAATAACACACCCCACCATTGGATTGGGGCTGGTAAATCCAAAAGCCTTCCTTGCAAGCTCCACACATCTTCTTATGTAAAACCCATCATCATTTAGTCCATTAATGCCACAATGGACACTTAAAGAACTAGGACAGTGTCCCCTCCAGCTTGGTCTTGTGGGCACCCAGATGGGTGATTTGTAAAACCCACAAAACCCACAAATCAAACTTCTATTAAAACCAAGCTTGGAGGGGTTCAGGGTTGGCAAGAAAGATGTAAACTTTTGAGGAGTGGGAGTGAAAATCCTAATATTTGCATAATGTTTTGGGAAGAATGGAAAGAACAAAACACAAGAAAAAAACTAGACCAATCATTGAATTTGAGTTGCACTAGGCAAAGAGTAAGTGAACAGTGACTTGACCAATCAACTGGCATTGGTTTGTGGAAAATTCCTAACGTCTGCGGTCTGTGCATACTTTTCTGACCAGGATCAAAGCACAGTAATATGCATGATTAAAATAAATAGTGCATGCATGATCATTGATCAAGGTAGAAAAAATCTTTTGACAGAATGTTGTCTGAGCCCGGGTTCGAACCGGGGACCTCTAGTGTGTGAGACTAGCGTGATAACCAACTACACCACCCAGACACTTGAGATTTGTAGATTTAAGAAAAAGAAGAAATCCGCAAAGTAAGGCATGTTTACACTATACTCCCCTGAAGTTGGCTATAATTACACCAAAACCGTACATACTCGGAAATTACATCTATATTTCTCACTACCATGAGTTAGCAATTAATTGGTGTATTTGTGAGTAACTGTTATAATCTTTAGACTTAGTCTAAAGTTAATGAATGGTTATAGTCTATTACCATTACTTAATAATATTGTTGTTACAGATTTTACAATATTTTCCTTTAATAAAATTTTGAAAAAAGTAGAAGTTGCTAACTGAGGTTCGTTTAATTGCTAAAGGAACGTGAACAATGGTAACTTTTATTGGGCAGCACAAGTTTTGGTGGACTGGTGGTTGTTGCAAAGGTGGTTCCTTGATTTAGCTGAGGATAGAAAAATAAAACAATGGGATAGAGAGTGTGTGGGAGTTAGAGTTTATGTAAAAGTTTTAGTGTGGGTTGTGATTTGTCATTGTCATCCAAAAAAAGATGCACCGGGTTTAAATATCATGAATATGTGACTCTACAAATCTCAGTAGAACTTGGACATTAAAATTGAAGCTTCATGTATTTTTAGTAGGAACACAAATTTTGGACGAGTCACAACACAAATTTGGTGATTATGAAAGCACTACTTGCAAATGATGTGTTCGAAAGAAAGTACTGCAACAATAGTGTCACCACTTGGAGCCTGCACCCTTATTTTATATTTTCACACATTGACACACTTTATTCTTAAAATATTATACATATATCTTTTATTTACATGTATAAAGCGTACATAGGATACGCTTAAAAATAACAAAGCAAGGAATGCATAAAGGAGCTAGGTGTAACTTCTTTAAATAAATAAGATCTAAGTATAGAGTTACTAGTAATGTTAAGAGAAGCCTGTGTAATTATCTCAAAAATAAAATAATAATCATATAATATTTTTACATTCTTAGATATGTTTAAGGTATAACATTCAGTTTTTTTTTTATTAACAGTTAACAAATATTTTTATTAAAAATTATAATATTTAATTTTAGTAATGCGTTAGATATTATAATTTTTATTATATATAGATTTTTATTATGTGTTCTTAAACTTATTGCATGACCATCCCCATATTTTTTTTAAAAATTATACTACTATATTTTTATTAATGAAAAAAAAAATGGTAGCCCCATCCCACTAACGTTAGAGTTCAGCTATACCCTTCTGACTTCTCAGAAAAAGAGAAAATATATTGTTTTCCTCATCCTGTCCTATTCGTTATTCCCACCTTGGTCTCCTCACTATTTGTATGGTTCTATTAATATGCTTAATTTTAGCATGTTTCATAGCCTCAAAGTTACTCGACTCTATTTTCTAGCTTCCAAAAGTCAAAATATAACTTTTTGAATTCATCTTTGTAGTGATTATAGACTTATAAGTATAATCCAATACCCTTAAACTCTTGATATAAATTTAATATCGAGTGAATGAAAAATGATGAGATAGTTAAATATATTTGTCTTTCTAGGTCTTATAACTCTATGGTCTTAGCTCCCACTATTCAAAATCCTAACTCCACCTCTGGCTTGCCTTTTATATCAAGGATTAGAGTGATACATATAAATTATTTATGAAAAAGAAAATTCTTACCTTATAAAATAATTCTTACTAGCTATGTTTATATCCGTTTTTCTATTTATTTCTTAGAGTAATTTCACACTTTTGGATGTAAGATTAATTCCTTCCAAATATGGAGTAATATAGGCTTGCTTGAATAAATTTCTAGAAAAAAAAATTATAAGAAAAAAATCAGTATTAAAAATAAATAAAATATCCTCAACAAATTAAAAATAACTTATAATTCACTGTTAAGATTTTTATGATTTAAACAGTTATGCGAAGTCACTTTACTAATGACAAAAAAGTGTCACTTTACTTATCTCTATACCCAATTCGTTGCGGGTTATTTCGCAACTAAATTTGAAGACTCGAGCTTTCCGATTCCGTTCACTCTGCATACACTCTAACTCTTCCACTTTATTCTCTATTATTTATATTTCTATTCATTTGGCTTAAAGTTTATTGATAATTTTATTACTGTGAATAATATTGCTTTTGGTAATATTAGTATTTTTATACATAATTATCTTCCCTTATTTTAATGTTGGATTACTACTTTTCTGTAACACAAAAATGACTAAGAACTCAATTTTACATTCTAACAGAAGTAGATTCGTGACTACGATGACATTTTAATAACTTTTAACATGAGCCAAATTATTATTTTTATCGATTCAAATTAAATATTTTATGAAGAAAAAGGTGTTACAGTTGAAGATAACAAGTGAGCGTGAAATTAATTAGTGGGCCAAATTTGTTACAATGAATTAAATAAGAATACATGAAATTAACTTGCTGCAGATATTTTGTTTAACTAGCCCAAGATGGTAATTACATATTTAATTAGAAAGTCTCATTTCTAGTCATGAGTCCCCCATACATCATCACACAAAAAACAGTAATTCTTTGAATCATAAAAAGCCAAGCACTCACTCAATAAACTGTTTCCCGTAATCACTTGTTTTCTTTAAATTGATTCGATTAACCACCACAGCTAAGTCTCTTCCCACTAAGTGAAATCAACTACATAAATTAAATGAAACTAATGTTTTATTGTGTGCTTAAGTACATAATTAAGTACTTATTCAGTATATATTTTTTATACAAGGACTTATGCCATAAATTTGACCATGAAACTTATTAAAATAAGTTAAAAAGAGCTTACTTTGATAAATTATATTGAAAAACTTATCAAAATATGCTAAACGGAGCTTATGAGAGTTATAAGTTAAAAAGAAACCCACAAGACTAGTGCATTTTCAGCTGTTCACAGATTAGATTTGATGGCTGAATTTGCAGAATTAACCTTCCTCACTAGACCCTCTTGAACCAATGATACAAGAAGCTGCAAGTCATCAAATGCGAAAACTTTAAAACAAAGTTAAACCAAGGAAAGGAGGGGAATCTTATGCTGAAACGAGATGTATAGAAAGTATATAAAAATAAGGCAATATTGAAGGAAAGAAAAGGACAAGTTTTTTCAGAAATGCACAGCACCAAGAAATGCGGTACTAGGTAAAGTGATGTGAACAGATAACTCCATACCTCTCCCTTCTGATTGAACATTTGGCCAGAGACAGAGCCGCGTGCATTAGAGGCACTAGGGCTAAAGATCTGTAGAACAATTGGATGTATTAACAACAACTCTATAAAAAAAAAAATTTAATACAAAAATTGAATTTTGAGGATAAATATTTTTAATTTAGGAAAAGATAACCACCCAACTAATTAATGATACTCAAAGAATGGTTAGAGTAATGAATTTATTTACTTAATTAGCTGTTTGAGTAGTTAATTGATTGTAAACAAATTATTTTTACCAAGAATTTTGTTTTTGTGACTTTACCAAAATAATGAATCACTTTACGGCACTCACCACAAATAGCACCCAGTCATCAACTCTTAAAGGTCTGTGAAACCACATGCTGAAATAAAAAAACAACAAAGCATTAAACAAAAAGGAAGAAAGCAAATTAATAATCCTAGCTTGAAAACTTGTTAGGTATGCCTCACATGTTATTATGTTAATATATAAATTACCTAGCATATCACCCAATAAGACTAACGATACTTACGTGTGGTCCAGACTCACAGCTCGTGCCTTCATGCCCTTCCTGCGGTGGGGATTCAAACTCACTTGAAGAAAGATTAGATCTGAAGCATATGCTACCACACACCTGCAATACAAACCAGATACACATATTGTTAGGTTAGATATAAAACCATTGATAAGCCTTCACCTGGAATAGTTGGTGCTAACATGGTATTAAAGCCATCATGACCAAAGCCATCATTGGTTTGATCCTGACCTCCCCCATTCTTCTATTTAAGAGTTGAATTTCAGCAAAGTAAAATGGGCCTACGCATTGTACACACCTTAAGCCCTCTAGTGTGAAGGGTGTTGGATATAAAACCATTCATAAGCTGTCACCTAACAACTTACATATTAACCTTTTGGTATAGTTGGTCCTTGACGTGGGTCCAACTTAGATGCTTTAGTACAGTTAGGTTTCAATCTTCGGCAATCTCCATTGTCACTAAGTCTTCAAACGAGTTCTTTCTCACAACATTAGTTTTCCAAAGACAACACAAATTTTAACAGAACTAGAAACTTATTCAGGCAAAAGGCTCCAAGGAATGCAAGCACAACACATTAGTAAAAGCCCTCTTGGTTCATGCATGCACCAATTTTGCAAAACCACTCAGAACTGGACATATCCAACAGTAAATAGTTATGTACCTATGCAAGGCCGGATCATCTGAAAGTTTTCCCTTTGCTCTAAACCAGTATCTCAAGCTGCATTCAAATGTGAAGTTCAGATAATATTTAGCATTAACAATCCCAGCCATTAAGGCTTGGTAAAAATGATTTACAGACAAAGGAAGGGAATGGATAGATGTATCTGCAATGGTACACCAATTCTTTCCCTTCTCTTCCATCCCCTCTCCAAATTTCTTTCTTATTGCATAAACACTAGTATAAATGCAAGCAAAAGTTGGCAGAGCATTAAGCTAACCTAGGAGGAGATTTGGTCTGATTTGTTGAAGCTTTAGGTTCACAGAATCGTATCTCTATTGGCCATGGAATGAATTCAGTTGTAGCAACCTTGTTCCGGTAGGTTCTGAAGCAATGAAATTTGTCATTATGGTATAGAAAATCTACATACAGACTTGTTTGGAGCTGAACTGAATAAAAACTCATAGGAACCTGTAACATTAATCATGATATGCTGGATAGCAATCTTTACCTTGGAAGACGAGGGTCAGTAAGACGTTGCTCCCGTAACTCTTCCATTGATAAAAGCTATAACAGATACCAGAATGTATCAGTACAAAATCATAACTACATTTATGAATATAAGCTTGTTACTTGCCGTGTCTGGAGCAGGGACTGATGGGATAGACACTTCCTGGTGGTGAAACCCTAATTCTTCCTTCTGTACAATTAAGGAATTAACAAAGTTAAATGTGCTCTAGTACTTAGAGAAGAATTCTTCAACAAGTGTTAAAGCATATATGGTAAAATAACATGTATCAGTCAAAAAGAAAACATCATGAAAACAAAGTTACATCAAACATGTTATATTTTGTAATCACAAAAAATAATACTAGAAAAAAGAAAATTTATCATAGATTCATATTCTTCTGATTTATATTACCAAGGGTAGGTTACATCTCATTTACTAATCATCGATATTGCATCAAAGTGTGTGCCAACTCCTAACAATACTAAAACATATCAGGCAATAACCAAGTAAATATAAATGCCTTTCCTACTAAAATTAGAGAAGGTATTCCTCTTTGGCACCTGGGTTTTATCATCAATTAGACACTAGCTTTATCGCATCAATGACAAGGATTTCATGTTATATAGTCGCACTATCCCAGATGCTCCTCCAAATGGTATTTCATATTTTAATTCCTTAGTATACTAGTCTGAAATGCTAAACTAAAGATAACGGCATGTGATTAATCTTAAAATTTTCCTTTAATATAGACTATATATTCAATAAGAATGATAACCAATTGACATATGATATAGAAAGAGTGCATAACTAAGCCAGATTCATGGTTAAATAAACTTAAAAATGACTGGAATTTTTAACTTATTCCAAGTCAAGAAAAATGAGGATTACCTGAAATGAAGCCAGCAAAGTGAATATGACATTTCCTTTCTGAATTGCATCCACTTTCCTTGTAGCAAAGCTCTTCCCATCACGGAGACGGTAAACTTGATAAATAATTGGTACTGGAAAACGAAAGTTCACACTGGCTATAATTTTTTTACTATTACTAGCCAACAAACAAATTAATTAACAGTACACATAACATATACATGAATGGTGATAATGAAATTATTAGACTCAAAGTTTGCACATACAAATAGGATAGTTTATTGATAGAAATTCTGAATGAAACGAGAATTAGAGTTCTAAAATAGATTTCACAGGCCTTAGCTCAAACATAGAGCTTTCCTCCCCCAAACATACAATCAGAACACACACAGCAATTTTCAAGGAGTTTCCTCCTTCAAAACACAAGAAATAACAAGTTGAAACCTTCCTTTCATTTTACAAGTCTGTAACATAACTTATATATCACTATAACTGTCACCCAACATTTTGACCAATAAATGCTTATTAACTTTCTAATGCAGAATTATAACTTCCTAATTCAGAACTAGGCCTATCAAGATGCCCATATGCAATTTTCTATTCAAAGAAAATATTGCATTATGAAGATAGAAATTTTAATACAAGAACTTCAAATTATTTGATTGGTTGGATCTTGGATGGATTACAATCTATAAATCCACAATCAGTTTTATGCACAATTTAACTCAAAATTCATTTCTTGATGATTATCTACCGGTTTATCTGGTCAATTAGTGCAAGACATTTAAGCAAAAGATAAGCAGTAGAAGCTATCTGACCAAAAGAAACATGACACGAGAGACTGGTGATGAAAAGCTGGGAATAGGATTTGTCTATTGAAAAAATTCCCCGCCATTTACAAATGTAAATCATAAATAAAATAGGAGAAAATTTCTTGCACAAAATGAAGTAACAGCTGGACCAAGGAAAGCAAAAGAATCTTTCAAGTAGGGAAAAGTGGTACAAAGAAACAGAAAAGGGAGTTACATAAAAGAATATTGTTGACAAAGTTCACATTAAGTACACTTACTATTAAAATCCCCCACGAGAAGAAAATAGGCATGCAAGCTATGAACAACTTTGAGACAGTCAACAGATTTTGATGCTGCAGCCAATGCCTATGTATCACACATGATCTTGTAAGCAGTCTATGCTTAGAAAGTGCTACAGACATGAGTAGTGCAGTGATACGAAGAACATATAGTAGTTTTAGCATACCTGTCCAACAATCTGCCCCCCAAATACCTTCCCAAATTTTGGAGCATCAGGAGGGGTGATTCCTCGGAAGATATCTACCTTCCAAAGAGAAAAAAACAGAATTATATAAGGTTGAACTATATGAAATATAGCCTGCTACCACTTAATATCAAAGATAAACCAGGACAACCATATCTGCTAGTTTCTTTTTCCTTCTCTATCTATTATATTATATAAGATACATGAGTACCTCTATGGGTTCCAAATGTAATATATGCTCCACAGCTGAGCATGTATCAAGAGATTTTTCTGCACTCCAGATAGATTTTGGCTGCAGCAGTGCTGAGTGCTCATGGGGCAGCACTAAGCATGATAGCTGTCACAGCAAACAAAAAAAGCGGCTATGTGATAAAAAAACAATACATATCAGGTTGACATTGAAAAACAGTAGATAAAGAAACCAAAAGGTACCTTTGTCGAAGCTACAACATCAGCATGGTGAACTGCATTTGATAAACCTGCAAGTTGCAAGTTTGTGTTAGTCTTCTGTAATTATAGTTATTACGCAATTTAAGGTGATATCTCTCGTGTTCAATAAAGAGGAGTCGTGATGCAAACCACATATGAACGAAGTTTATTACCAAAACCAAAATAGTCATATCTTTTCAATTGAAACTCTGGATGATTTTCTTCATCCGTGCTAACAGAGCCAACAACTTCAGCCTGAAAGCCAGGAAACTGAATTGTCAGCACAAAATTGTGAAAAATTCAAAGAATAATGTTTCATAAAGAAATCTTTACACCTCTTTCTCCATCATTAGATGAGCATCTACATCACTACAACTGATCCAACAACCCTTGTATATAGAACTTTCAATTCTGAAATATAATATCAATTAAAAATAAGCATACCTCTCCATCCCAAATGAAGTAAAGACCATCCCCACGTTCACCCTCACGAACAACATACTCTCCTGGCCCTACACAATAATGCATCCCGCAAGAATTGAAAACATTAATACATGAACTAGTTCATTCATCAATCACCTTCTCCTAAAACATCTGCATACTAGAAATTTTCTAAAATACTCCAAACATTACAACAACAATAATAGAAAAAAAAAAAAAAAGCTACCACTATACAAACAATTTTTCACATATTACATCCCATTACGTCCAATTCAATAACAAACGAGGTCAACATTTAAAAATCCAAATGTTATACCATAGTGTTTGAGAATCACAAGTTCAGATATCTTCCGTACAGACGAACCAGGAAGTCTCTGTAGCAGGGGAACGTTCCCGAGGAACTCAAATACTGCAAGAAGATCAAACAGAGAAAACCAAAACTAAGATCGCAACAGAAATTAAATCGCATAAAACTGAAATGAATAAAAGTAAAAGTAAAATTAATAATTCTTTGTTCCTCATCGTCTCTGCAGATTTTCTCAGCATCCAAACAGAAAATTTTCTCGCTGAGGCTCACTCACCTTCTTCCTTCGCCATTACACTGATTGAATGGTTTCCAGCATTATTGCAATTTGCTTATTGTCATCGTTATAATTTATATTATTATTTTTACTAACAAATGATCAACGAGGGGCGAGGAGGAACGGGTGCTATCCAGTGCGTAGCAGTACAGAGCCAAAAGTGTAGAGCCGAGGCTGTTTGACCAATAGAAATTCCGGTTTGGAAGGTAAAGCAACTTCGCGTCCATGTCATCGTCTGCGGCTATAAAATTCTGTGGCGTGACGGCCCGCATTGGATAGATGGAAAAGAAAGAAAAAGATGCAATTATTATGAATGCTAAACTTTAAATTTATTTAAAGACTTGTTTTTGCTGTAAACTTTTTAATTTATTTGTCATAAAATGGCATTCATTATTTGGTTAAAAAAATATTTTTTTTAATATATTATGAATGTTTTCATAGATTTAATTATTTTGTTTGTGAAATATCTCATCATATTATCCGATTTGATCAACCTGTACTTTAAATAAGAAATTCCGAGGATTCTTTCTTAGTCCGATGTTAACAACATTACAAGTCTGTATAATATGCATGTAATGTGAAATTTGGAGTATTGCTCCTTGAATGTATTTATCAACACTTATTTTTAAATGAAATATTTTTTTTATTTGAGAATATTTTTTAAGAATTTTAATCAAAAGCATCGTTTTTGTTTGGTTATTATTATATAAAATATCTCTTTTATTGTCCGTTTTAAAACTATCACTAATTAGAAGTATTTGTGCACTTATTCTCTTGATAAACAAATTCCTTTAATCTTTTCGTATGAACAGTGCTTGGTGCAAGTATTTTCTTTCTAACTTCAGTATTTTTCACAACATTTTATAGTAACATTACATCTCTTTATCTGTTATTTTTTTTATCATATCACCCATTACATTTATTATATTCTCTCTTTACATCTAATGAGTGTATATATACTTTAAGGATGCCAAACAATCCTTATTCTTTTTATTCTTTTCATCCCGCATACTGAATTATTTGGTTTGACACCCCCACGACCAATTCATTGTCTTTTTCAGCCAAGGCTATGTTGGTTATTTCAATGTAAGGGTTGTCAACAACAACATTAGAAGGGGTGATTGCGGATAAAGAAATGCACGTCAAACAATATCAATTGATGTTGTTATTAATACATCCAAGAAATAGTTTCTCACGGTTAAAAGTGATGCACCTACAATTTGTAATAGATATTTGTAGATTTTACGCAAGCTTATTCCCCAAAATGCAATCAAGCCTAATAACAACCCCCAAGACAGGATTAAGTTTTCCGTTATTTTAATGTATAAGATGATGAATTTAATAAATGACCTTGAACTATACAACGTTTGCCCAATACAATTGATGTAAGCATAATATATTAAGTTATGCTTGATGTGAAATGTCAAACAACTTAAACTCAGCATTCTGATTATGGCTTCGTCTTAACAAATGTCAGGGAGTTTGTCATACTTTCAATTAGACGCATGGGTTAAAATGTTGCTTGCAAGTGAAGTAGGCAATTATTTAATATAGATTTTTAAGGTGCTCACCAGCACAAAATTGTAGCGCCATCTGCTCCATCCAATGGATCATCTATGACAGCGGCAACCGAACATATCACAGTCTGTTATACTGATGTAAAGTAGGAAGCACAATAATTGTACAGATCACTGTATATTGGTTAATACTGAATGTCAATGAGTTGCACATGTATGGACAAATTACTCATCCGGGTTCTATGTGAGTTGTTTGATCGAAAAAACAAGAGCGTAACCTAATAAATACTTGACTAACTAGTATGTGCCGCAGCTAATAACAATCCTATTTCTCCTAATCTGTCACAGGATACCCCAACCATTTTGTCAGGGGAATTATAAATATGAATTCTACAAGATTCTCTTTCCACCATTTATACCTGAAGATCAAGAACAGCTTCCCCTGCAGAGAGAAAAGATGCAGTTATCAATCCAAAAGCTTTGATATAACTTCCGTCCCACAAGAGAGCAGCAACTTTTGCACCTACTTGCACTTTAAAACTTGTTTAACATTCTATTACTTTTATAAAATGATTTCAATCAAATTAAAGCGTCATGCTATGAGCCTATGACTAGCTGTAGAAAGTTGGGTATTGTATTGCAAAGCAGGTGGAATTGCGGATCAAATAATACTATCAGTGTCTAGATTTGCTCATCACGCTAGGGTGTGGGACTCGGGCAGAAAGGTTCCAGCTGACACATGAGCATTCGTCAGGTTTGTATGGTGTTCTTTCCTTAGTAAATATTTCCACCAATCAATAAGAGACTAAGGATACATTTAAAACTTTCTTCATCGACTTACCATGCATTCTCTTGACAAATCGTTCAAACTCTACGAAGTTTTGACGTTCCATAAGAAGTGGACTAAGCCTCAGGTAAGTAAAGGATGAAAAATGCCTTCCATCTGGATCATTTATGGGCTTGGCATTATCCAAAACCTTGTTATAGCTAACTCTGTTTAGGCAAGGGAGTGCATTCTGAGTGGCAACTGGTAGGCCAACATCCCATCCAGCATTCAACACCTGCAATACACAATCAGGAATGTGCACTTCAAATTATACAGTTTTAATTCTAAAACAGTATTTTACGTAACTCAATTTTGTTTATATAAGGCCAACAGAGATAAATTATTCTACAAATTATTTCCCTGAAATTGCATATTTAGGAAACATCCAGAAAACAAGATAAACTTTGGCAAGGATTAATACTTACCTGCCATACTAATCCCTCAGGATCTGCAAATGTCTCTGGAAATCCCTCATGTTGATTCAATGTGTGCAAGTCAACACAAGGAATGTTTAAGCTAACTCCATTTCTCTTCAACATTGCCATAATTGCAGCATAACCATCACGATTACACGGATTATAATATCCAGCAGTTAATTCAGCAGCATGACTAGCAGTCTTGTACCACCAGTAAATTCCCGATAGCTGTATTTATAGAAATTAAATATGTAAGACTATACATGCCCACAGCATACATGTACGCCCAGAAAAACTGAGAAAGGATATACCCACAAATGGATAACTTCTAGTTGAATAGGATAAGCATTAATTTTATAGAAAGGTTTAATTTTTTTGTTCTTTTTGGGGCTTGGTGCAGAAAATGCCATTGTTCTTTGGTGGTTGTGGATGATTACTAGGGAGATCAGTCAATAAAAGATACTTCCTTGGTTAGTGGTAAACAAATCATTTTGAAGAACTCAATTCAAATCTTTCACATTAAGCGAAAATAATTTTCAAGAGCAAATCACACAGATAAGAATGGGAGAGTGTTGTTTTTCAGTAAGACATGCACTGAAAAGCTATGAAAGATATACCAACAAATGGATAACTCTGAGTCAAATAGAACAAGCATTAATGTAGCACTAATTTTATAAAAATGGTTTTTTAACTTCTCATTTGTTGGGGCTTAGTGGAGAAAATGCTGTATTTTTTTTGGTGGTGTATTACATAGGAATATCAGTGTTTCAAACTCTCAGTTATCAGTCTACAAAAGATCATTTTTTGGTCAGTGCTAAACAAGTCATATTGAATTATTGAAGAACCTATCTAAAATCTTTCAGGGGAAAGTAATTTTCAAGAAAAAATCACACATAAGAGTGTTGTTTTTGTGACATTTTCAATAAAGAAATATTTTCATAGATATTTTTAGCTGAAAATAAGTTCTCAAATTTTATTTTCAACGTCATTCTATTTTCTGTGCAACAAATGATGGGTAAAAGCATAGAAATTAACATCACATATATATATGATAAAGACTGCAACAATTATGCAATTCCTTATGTTGTAAGACAAAATCATCAAGGTTCTGGTGCAGAAAAGAATCAGAGAAGCTTTCTGTGAAATTTAGAGTGCAAAATTTTCTTGAAATTAAGATTTTCTTTACCATTAACTTACCTTTGCAGAAATACAGGATCCCTCAAAAGCTAATTTTGCCAGTGAAAGAACCCGATTTCCATGATCAACTAAAATCTGAGAGTACCAGCTAAGGAAAAATCTGCCATAGAAGCCATCATAATCACCTCCATCACAAAAGAAACCTGTTTCATGAGGCTGAGAATTATAGGTACCAGCATTATCGGGCCCTCTAGCCCAAATAGAATGCCCCCTTACTTCTGCTGCTTTCCTAAGACTTTTCAACATATACTGATCATAGCACTGTACACAGAGCGAGAAGATGATGAGCAAAGTGGCTAAAGAGAGATCCAAGGCACATGCATAACACAAAGATATCAGCAACAATACGTGCAAAAGACCAGACAGCCAGAATGGCACATAGGCTGTGGACACTCTGACAACAAACAACTAATACTCTTTATCAAAATTAATATAATTTTTAAAAATAACTCTTATTTAAATTTTTTACATTTCAATATATATATATATATAGGAATAGGATTTATAAATCCTAACCGTACAAATCAAATAATCTAACCGTTTTTATTTTATTTTATTTTTACATACTTTTCAGGTAACTTTTCAATCATTAGATTATTTGATTTGTATATTTAGGATTTAGTATAAGTTGATCCTATGCCATATATATATATATATATATATAATTTATTTTTAGGAAAGAAATTATAATTAGAAAAAAAAATTATAAAATTTTTAAAATATTTTTTACAAATGTTTCTTTAATTATACTTTTTCTTAAAAAAATTATATATTTTTTGAAAAATTATAGATTCTTAAAAATATATAATTTTTAAAAATATTTTTTATTAAAATTGTTCATATAATTTTTTTATAAAATATTAAAATCATATTTTAAAATAATTATTTGTTTATAAAATATTTAAAAATGTATAAAGTATGAGTAAAAATGTAACATTAAAAAAGTTATGTTATCCTGATGATTTCTAACCCAACGCCTCTCTTAGAATAAGAATTTGAACTACAGAGATATGATACGATAACTCATCAGGACAAAGATAAGTTATTCTATCTTGTCATCTTATTCTATCCACCAAACAGGCCCTAAGTTCCAACTTTCTGGTATTATTCATTGTCTAACACCCACAAACTAAAAATTTTCCTATACATAAATAGGTTTTATGAAGACTCTAATAAAACAAAATGTCAAGGAAAACACGTGGGAAAAAAAATTAAAGATGACAAATAAAACAACTCAAATTTCTTTTGATCTATGAAATGCCTGTGCGTAGGGATATTTTATTTTAATTTTTTGGGATCAATAGAATATGAATTTACTTGTTTAAAAGAATATATAGCAGCAAATCTATTTGACCAGAGAAAGTATTTGTAATGAAAAATAGAATCTGAAAAATTACAGACTTGGATAACTAAAATTATAATAAACTTAATTACCTGGAATTCACCAATACCAGGATATCTCCAACCATGCTTTACAGGACAAGATGGATATCTTAGCTCTCCACATGGACCCAGTCCAACTTCAATCAAGGAGATGAAGCCATCCTCAAAATATTCATCAAACTCTACCCGGAAACTTCTCATGAAATCAAAATAAACCTACAAAAATGTATAATGAGCAAATTATACACTTACTTTTATTGGCATACATGAAATGGAAACTTTCCCTCCTAACCTGCCTCTAAAAGACATCTGATATATAATTCAAACAAACTTGTTAGGAAGAAAGGTGATTTAATACTAACATTGTAACGCATTCATATGATAGATTATAATTTTCTATATCGTATTTAATAATTACTTAAAGCTTGATTGAAAAATGTCTACATAGATGGTTTTGTCATTAAGCATACATCAAAAGCCATTTCTTCTCAACTGCATTTAATTTCAATGACAATGCTACTGCTGCTGCTAACAGTAACAATAATAATAGCTGCTTTCATTTCATTTTTGTTGTTATCATGTCATCATTACCTCCACAGCAGTCCGACCTCTTAAAACCCGTTCCTTATCTATTCCCCAAGAAAGACATTCAGGGTTGTGTCTTCCCTCTCTATCAGTGAAAAAAATGTCAGGATTGCTTCTACCAATTTCAGCTACCCAATGAGGTAATGGAATGCAAACATCATCACCAAAATTGCCTCCACATTCATGAAAAGACATCCCAACCTGGCCAAGAGTAAACAGGACAAGTCACCACATAAGGCAGATTGAATTAGCAAGAAAGCAATCCACAATGATTGATGTAACAAAACTCACCTGCAGCTTAAGCTTAAGTTCACGCACCATTTGAAAGAGTCTCTTGTAACCATTCCAATTATACTCTTGTGGGGCATGTGCCTCCACTATTCCCCACCAACAGTCTACCATTACACCATCAACATTTGCTGATTTCAACACCCTCAGCTGCTTTAGTAGACCATCCGGATCAACAAGCTCACATTTGATATTGATCACCCCTAACTGTCAAGAATATAGACAGAATGTGCCTATATAATGTTAAACTCATATTTACAGATATTTTCCTTAAAAATTATGTTTAAGGATACCAGTATATTAACTATAACTTCTCACCATAAGCACATTAAGAAACCAATAAACCCAAAAACAAAGGATGAAATAATAGCTTACCGGTAGCATCACGTAAACTGGAACATATGGAGTACCAGCCAAATCACGCTCTGGTAATCTGGGGGACATATCAACCATCTACAAAGTAAATAAGGTATAAAAACATTACCAAGAAATTTACCTGATAAAGGCACCATATTTGAAATTACATGCAAAATAAAAAGGAAGAATATGCCCTTTTCCAATCATTCAGTCATCTTGGGGTACTGTCAAGTTTACATACTGATAAGAACTTATTTTTACTGATAAAAAACAATGGACATTGAAGACTAGCTCCTTACAAGAAAAGAAAATGTAGAACATAAAAAAATAAATGAGTTGGTGCATGTAGATAACCTCTAACCTAAACCCTTTCCCATTTTCCTCTCAATTCATGCCTACTGTGCACTATCCATCCTTCCCTCACATATTCTTATTTATGCATACCAAATTCCTACCTCTCACTATTCCTTTCCAGTTGAGAATACTGTTATGCTCCAGCCTTAACAACATGAATATTCCCCTTATTTCCTATCCTCTTTGATGTGTTTATATAATTCCAATCCCTTTCCCTGTAGCACATACCATAGTAGCAGGGGTTTATAACATTACTAATGGAAAAGTCGAATAAATTATAGAAGAGGTCAAAAGGGTCACGGTGACAGCATGGATTGCATTCACAAGCAAGTAATATATAAGATCTTAAATATGTAACTTATTCAAAGGCCACTCTCATTAACAAGCTCTGCTTCTATACATGCAGGAATGATGAAGGGAAGAGTCTAAAATTATAGAAGAGGTCAAGAGGGTCACAGTGACAGCATGATAACATTCACAAGCAAGTAATATATAAGGTTTTCAATATGTAATGTAACTTATTCAAAGGCCACTCTAATTAACAAGCTCTGCTTCTATACATGCAGGAATGATGAATTGAATATTAATATAGCAATGAATAATGACTTAGACACTAGTTCATGCCACCAGCCAATCACTAGTCACCATAGCAACTAGAAGAAATATACTTCCAGAAAAAAATCAAAATGTTGGTCAAATGGCCTCACTAGATACCTGCTTCTCATCAACATTATCAGTTGAACCACCACCAATCAGGGGACAATTGTCTCTTTGTGCTTCTCCATCCCCCACCATAGATGTTTGAGACCGGGAACTTGAAGATGGATCATAAGGAGATGGAACTGGCGCGAAAACACCTTTTATTTGACATGCATTATGCTCTAGAGGGCTCCTATAACCGGATCCAGAAGCAACTCCCCTGAGGGAAGCAGAAGGAGTTTGTTGCGAAGGCACATGGGAAGATGATGATGTAACAACAGTAGAATTACCACCAGCTGGCCTTTGACCCTGTAAGGTTGAGAAGAAAAGGTTCCAATGTGGGAGTTTTTCTGAGATTTGTCAGAACTGAAATTTACAGATACACAACGGTGATAAGATATTTAAAATATCAGATAATTTAACTTCACTAAGCCTAGAATTCAACTACAACAAGTACCAACAGTTAAGCTATACACTACACTACGGATAAAATTACATATATTTTCTCTACAACAGCACCATCCAAAACAAATTTTGAGAAGGGCTTTTTGAAGAATTAACAACAGGGGAAACAGAAAAAAAAAATTATCAGGCCAAAGTTCCCCCTCTCATGAGAAAATCAGGCATGATGCTTGCAGAAGCAGACCAAAAGACAGAAAGGCCAACTAAACATTAGTTTCCGAATCAGAAAAATGTAACTTAATTATTGACAGATAATTACCTGAGATCTGGAGGGAAAAGTAGTTCCATCTGGAAGAACCACCCATCCAGCTTCCCTTGCTAGAGCAGCAATGACATCATTTATGTCAGCCCTAACTCTAAGATTATAGTTGCCATGCCTACGAAGCCCTGCCAAGATCTTTGCAGTGATAGCCCTCCGGCGCCTCTCTCTTAGTTTTGTTCTTTCTTTCTCTTCTAGCGGTCTAGATCTTCGGGTACCTCCACTAGGGGTGCCTACTTGCTCTTGAAACTGCTGGTGCTGTTGAAACCTGTTGTCACCAGTGGCAGTTCCTATTCCATTTCCACCATCAATCTCAACCATCCCTGGAGCATTTCCATGCTCACTTCCATTTTCCTCATAATCATCATCCTCATCATCCTCGTCTTTCACATCCATCCCTATTTCTTCATCATCCTCACTCGTTCCAACAAGCCTCTGCATATCAGTTGCCATACCCCAAGTCCGAACTCTCAATAGTTGAATTCAATTAAAAACTATTCTACTGATACTGTTGGTTAGCAATGCCATCAACATTTATGAATGGTCTCCATTTCAAATAAAAAAGAACATGTCATCAGAAATTCCACAGGCTGCACAAAAACAAAAGCAACAGTTATCAGTTAACACCAAAGTGACAATTTCTATGCCCCTAAATCATTTTTTTTAAACCTTCATAGGAAATAATTATATATAAAATAAAATAAAACGAGAACGTTTTTGTAACCGAAAGCACAAAGCTACACTCAATTCAGCACAACAATTTCCGCTTCCCCTAAACTCTAAACCAATAATTTAAACTAAATAAGTAAAACTTGAGCCATTTTTGTAATCAAAAGCTTACAGCTACACTCGATTTACCTCACTTCGTTTCTCAGCAACACATATTCTCTCATCCAAAACTAAAAAGAAAAAAAAATCGTATTAATTCCCGAGTTTTCACTACAAGATTACCTTCCAGATCGAGATCACGGTGCGATAAACAAATTCTCAAGCAGATCAGTCTTCTACTCGCCAGATTCTTCAGAACTCTGTCAGATACCAAATTACCGGCGGCCGGCGCGGAGGTCCGGCAGTAATTGACGGCGAAGGGGAGGAATCCGGGAGGATCGAGCTCAGGAGAGGGAACGGCGGCACCGGCAAGCATCCGGCGGCGGGTAAGGGGTGAGTTCCGGCCGGCGAGGGGTGAGCGAGCGTGCGAGCGAGTGAAGCATGCGAGATGCGTCTCACGAGGTTGGGTTCTCGCTCGTGTCGTGTGTGTGGAGACGAGCGTGTTTGGGAATTTGGCACGAACGGAGCGTGCGTGCCAACTTTTAAGTGAGAGAAAAAAAAAACACATACATACACTTGATGTTTTGTCTCTCACATGCAACGCATGTTTTTGTTTTGACTTTTTTGGATAGGATTTCTTTTCTATTTATTGCCTAGGTTCGTTCTTAAAAATATTAGCGATGTTTTAATCGTTTTAAAATAAATTAACCATTTAATACTTACAAATTATAATTATAGAACAATATTTTAGTTTTTAACTAATAAATAAAATAATTATAATGTTTCGTATTTATAATTTTAAATGATTATTTAAAAATTTAATTTTTATGTATTGTTGAATATAATTTTTTTACACTGTTAATTAATTAAAATATATTGCAAATATAATTTTTATATTACATATTAAAAATCCATAATTCTTACTTATATAATAATCTATGATTTGATGATAGTGTATAAAATTGTCAGCATATTTAAATTAAAATTTTCAAAGAATTAAATTAAGTTAATTAAATATTTTCTTAAATAAATAAGGTTTTTATTAAAGATAATGATAATAAAAGTAACCATCCCATACTTGTACTGTGATCTAGAATAGTTTTCTTCGGCTCCATAATTTTTTAAATAAATTGAATGTAGTTTTATAATGATTAGTTACTATTATTATTTCAGTCATACGTTTATTTATTTTTAACCTCTTTTTACAATTTTTTCCATTCCTTAAAATAAAAAAATATTCCTTAAATTTAGTAATTATTCATTTTTTAATCTTTAATGTTAGTTTACTTAAGTGAATTTCATTCTTGATGTCAACGCTCGTGACTAATTAAATTGGCTTATGAAAATTTAAATTTGTGAGTTGTTGTTTTTTAATATTAAAAGTTAAATAAAAAATTGTACCGATTTTAAGAACAAAACTAATTAACAATTACATCAAAGATGAGTACTAAAATAATGTCTTATTTTTTGTATACTGAATAAGTAGCTTAATATATTTATTAGTAATAGTTTATTAGTATTTTGGCATGTGCACTCGGTTCAATATAACTTGCATGGGTAAACTAGAGCCTGAGTGGTGTAATTGTTTAAAATACTTTACTGTAGTTATAACTTGCATTTTTAATTTTTATTTTAACTCGAACTTGTGTATTGAAGTTATAGGTCTTTACTTTGTGTCTTTATTTTATAATTATCTGAATTATATTTTAAAAAAAAACATTATAAATTTGTTTTTTATAGAGTAAACTTATAAATTAGTCTTTTAAATAATATCGTTCGTGTATATTAACCTTTTACTTTTTAAAACTTCTCTGTTAGTCTATGAGATAATAAATTATCAGTGACAGTCAGTTAAATTTTTACATTAACTTTTATTTGGTTACGTGACACATAAAATGATAAAATAAAGTCATTTTACACAAAATTTAAGAAAAAAACCTCCTATAAATAGGTTTACATCCAAGAAAAGAGGAGATTCATTATAATTAATGGCTAATTTGTGTGTTTTCAGTTCATGGTAGAGGATATGCAATTTGTAATATCTATGGTATGGAAACCATGAAGGTACAATAATGGTAGTTCAAGTTGAGCTTAACAATTTTGCCTACTATTTACATGTTATAGATATTAATAATGGTAACAACGATAACAATAATGTAAAGAGGAGATGGTAGGAGCGGTAATAACATCACGATAATAAAAATTTATCATATTAATTTATAACTTTGTGTGAAATAATATTATTTTAAGTTATTAATTATCACTTTAAATGATGTTTCAACAAAAGTTAATGTTTCATACAAACATTAAAAATTTAATTACATAACAAATTAATATATTAAAGACTAATTATCAAAATAATTTAGAAAAGAAAATAACTAATATACCTATTACTAACTAATTTGAGTTCACCCTTATATATGTTTATTTTTATTATTATTATTATTTTTAAGCTTTTATTTTATTTCTTATTTAGACTTTGATATATTGAAATTTTGGAATACAAGTTCAATTTAATGACAAAGTAGAGTAAATTTAAAAATTATGTGATTTATTTGTTTAAAATAATTTTAAAATATTTAAACTTAAAATCTTTTCATTATATATAGTCTATAATTTATTGCTAATTTATGAATGTGAGCCTTTATATCATACCATAATTAAATTGCAATTTAAAAGTAAGTTATTACTAACTCTTATCGTTCTTTAATTCTTATTTTCATTCACATTTCTACTTTTTTATTATTATTATTATTATTATTATTATTATTATTATTATTATTATTTATAACATTAATAACATGCGTTACTCGTAGCATTAATAAGTGAAGTGAATGACATCTATATTTGGATTTAAATCGAATAAAAAAGAAAAAAGAAAAGCAGCAATGAAGAAAAACGCATCCTCTCATTAAAGCAAAAGCAGGTACCGAAAAGGAATATATATATAATTATTTTAAATAATATTTTTATTTTATTTTATATATATCAAAATGATAAATATTAAATAAAATTAAATAAATTAAAATAATTTATTTTAATATAATACTTTTTATCTTATAGTGTCAAAAATATTTTTAATTAAATGTTAATAGTTAATATATATATATATATATATATATATATATATCAATAACTATAAATTTAGGAGGCTTTCCAAATCAAAATAATAAGAAAAATTTAAGTAATAATTTTAATTTTCAAAATTTAGAATTGTATTAACAAAAATACAGATAAAAAGTAAAATTATTGTAGTTAAAGATAATATAATTTACACGTCATTCTCAATTAATTTTAATCTTAAAATATATATGTAACAAATTCTAAAAGATAATAGTTCTATTAATATTTAAATTTTTAAATAATAAATTTTTATTTATAGTATAAAAGTTTATAATAATTTATCATAAGTAGATTTATTTAAACATGAAAACAATAGTTTAAAATAAGAAAAATATGTTAAGAAATTAAGTTATATTAATTTTAATTTTATTATATATGATTCATTGTAAAAACATATTTTTAAAATAATGTATATATTTCCATTAAAATTAACATCACAAACTCTTTTAGTGAAATTATGGTTAAAAATAAAATATATCAAAGTAATCATATTAAAATTGATTATTAAGTAGTTTATTATAATCTATATGTTTAATGTAGTCTTTATATTTTTTTTCATCTTGTTTAATGATTAAAATTTTTAACTTTAATAATGTTACTATTAACCTTGAAATATATCATTAACCGTGTACATCACGTATTATTATCATTTGTTTTTTCAATATGATATAAGTTTTAACATTATCTTATGATCTCTCAATTATATTATAAAAATAATGATTAATTTTATTATTAATATCATTTGTAAAACAATGAAAATTAATAGTTCTTTCTTTTAGATATTTTTTTTATGTTGCATTTGTTATCCAAAATTTAGATATTTAAATAATTTATTTGTATAAATTGTTAACTTGGAATTTTTTTTTGGTTAAATTTATATATTAAAGGATTTTCTTTAACTAAAATTTTAATATGAATATTAAAATAATTTTATTATAAATATTAAAAAATAAGTATTTAAACTAAAAAATATTTTAACTATAAAATACTGATAAAGTTAAAAAAAAATTATCATATTACAGATAAACAACTATCTTATAAGATAATGGATGTTAGATTTTAAATAAACTATATGAAAAGAATAGCCATAACAAAAATAAAAAATTTAAACAAAACAAGTGACATTATAAATATTAGAGTAACACTTATAATAAAAAATAATTAAAAATATAAACTAAAGTAGTTTAATCACATATAAAGAATATTTTTAGAGTTATCACTTAAGACTGTGAAAAACATAATCTTTAATTAAAAAATAAATTTTATCATATTACAAATAAACAACTGTCTTATATGACAATGAAATGAAAGTTAGATTTTAAATAAACTATATGAAAAAAATAGCAATAACAAAAATAAAAATTTTAAACAAAATAAATGACATAATTTTTGGTTCGATAAAAAAATACATAGAATATATTTGTTTCTCTTTTTAAAAATAAAATATAATACAAATGTGTATTATCTTTTATTTAAAAAAATATTTTTAAAAAAGAAAACATACATACTTATAAGTAAATAGAAAAATAAAATTTTTTGGTTTTTAAATTTCATGAAATTGATTTTAGCAATTTAACTAGCAATGAAAAAGACTAAGCAAAAGTAAAATGTGTGTATTTACCAAAGGTGATCTCCTTACATTGCTATCAGCCAACACTATTGTTCTTGCAAAAACCCATGTGAGGATCACAAATAATCTGATCTTATTTGTTCACTGCAAATCTAAAGATGATGATCTAGGAGAACAAACTGTGTACCCTCGTCATTTCTATGAATTTAGCTTTGGAATTAGCTATATTGGAGAAACACTGTTTTTTTGTTCCTTAAAATCTGAATTTGTCTCGAAGTGGCCATGGATGATGGTAAGTTGGTAACAGCCATAAATTTAGACCATTGATAATTTTAGATCATAGAATAATGTATATTTTATTCTTGTATTGCATTTGTATCTTAAAAATTTTTAAGTCGTGTTTGGATGAAGATTTTTAAATTTTTATAAAATATAATATTAACAATAAGAAATTTTTAAAATAAAAATATAAGGAAAGTTATGAATGATAAATATTAAAAAATTAAGAATAATAGAGAAATGTTTTATTTTTTTTATAAAATTAAATCATTTGAAATTATTATAAAATTACATGTAATATATTATCAAATAAGTTAATACCTTTATTGAAAATAAAAACTAGATATGTTTTCTTTTTAAAAATTAAAATTTCAGGATTTTTTTTATTTCTTAATGTTAAAAGTGTAATTTGTCAAGAATCTCATTCTACTTAATTCAATGAAGTGAATACAATGAATAAGCCTAAATCAATGTTTATAGCTTTTTTTATAGAAAATAAAAATAATAATACTGATAAGTAAATAATAAACAATGAATAATTGTAATAAATCTCACTAAGATTTTAATTAAAAATTTAGAAATAATTTTTAATAAAAACATATTATTCACTTCACTGTTAAAAGTTTCATCCTTTTGTAAATTAGTGGTAAACTGAATATAATCATATTAACACCATAGCTTCGAAAATTTGTTCCATCAATTGGATCCATTGGACTGAAAATCATTCTAGTCCTCAGCCAAGATTATCCAAAAAATATTGATCATGAATGGACCTAAACTAATATAGTAGAACGATCTGAATTAATTTTTATTATTAATTTGAAATGTCTTTAAATATCTCGGTCATGTTATGATGTATTTTAAAATGTGTATATGTTTTTAAGTCTAAATTACATCTTTTTATTAAAACTTAAATTTGAGATCATAATTAAGTTAGAATAAATTTTTTAGCAATTAAATCACATGTTTAATTATTAAAATATAAATATATATTTTTTGCTAAAAAAATATAATATATTAAATAATATTATTATTATATTTATTATTTTATTTAATAATTTAAAAAACGAAACTATGTATACACCCATTATTATGACCTTTTTATAAATGTTTAGCTGTCAATATAAATTTTATAATATTTTTATAAACGACAAAGTATTAGGGATGCATAATAAAAAAGAGGTTAAAGTATTATGTTTGCACTTGACCTTTTATTACATGCGTTAGAGTAATCGGTGAAGTGAATGGCATTTATATATTGGTTTAAATCGAATAAAAAAAAAGAGAAAGAAAAGCAGCAAGAAAAGTCATGAAAAATGCATCCTCTCATTAAAGCTTATCAAATATTCACTATAAAAAAAATTCTAGATATTAATAATAAATTATTAAAAAAATAAAATATCTGTGTTTTAGATTAAAAATATTAAAACAGTTCTTATTGATATACTTTTTATTTAATAATAAATTGTTAGTATAAATTGAAAAAATTTCACTAATAATATAATTTATTATATCGAAAGCTAATTGTGGTAGTAAAAATATTAATATATACTATCAATAATGACAATGAAAAGTAAAAGATTGAGTATCAATCTTTTCATTTAAGTCAAATTATTATGACTTAAAAAAAATTAACTTATCTTAAGTTAAAAATAATTACTTAAATAAATATTGAAGAGATTTATATATTTATTATGATATAAAATTAGCTTATGCAAAAAAATTAAGTTTTAAACTCTAGACTCCACAAACTATATAGACAATTTTTTTTTTGCATTTTTTAACGTTTAATCACGATTTTTTAGTTATTATTTTTATTAAAATTTAGTTAAATTGTTTATTTATAAGAAAATCAGGATGAATATATGATATTTAAAAATTAAATTTATTTTATTTACAAATATCATAATTTAAAGTATGACAATGTAAATAAGTTTTTAGATTTAAAAAATATATTTGCATATTAGTTAGGTATAAAAAATAAAAAAAAAAGGAAACAAAGTTTATGTGACACTATATACAAAGTGAAAATTACTTACTTTAATTTGATTTTTTGTTTTAGATATATTTTTAAATTTCTATAGCTTAAATTTCAATTATATCAACTAATTTATCAAATTAATTACTAAAAAAAAACATTTGACCTAACTTAAAAGAATATGATTGAGTTTTATGTGAATTAAAAAATTATACACAATTATATTTTTAAAAAAATATTTATTTTAAAAAAATAATTTTAAAAAACTTATTTTAAATATTTAATATTTAAAAATTATTAATCTTTAAAATTTATTAAACATAAATTATAAATATTATAACTTTTTAAGACATGTCATCTTACTACCTTGTTTAAGAGTCATAAAATTCGTTAATTCACCTTACACGTCACTGAATATATAGTCATCACATAAAGAATTAATAATAAAACATTTCTGCATTTATAATTCATTTTACAACAATTGTTAAAATTAAAAATAATAATTGCCGCATATCATCAGCGTAACACGAAAGCACAGTAGGTAGTAGGGCTAAAAAGTTTGATCATCACCTAATTGTCAAAATTAAGGGTAGGGATTAAATTTAAAGAAATAAATTAATGGAATTATTTTAGGTGAAAAATTTTATAGAAACTAAAAAAAAAATTAAAAATTTATACCAACTAAAAATATTTATTTAACTTTAAATAATTTATTTGAAAAAATTATTGAGTGAGTATTCTTATTTACATTGGAATTTTTTTCTTTATTTTTTTCACCGACTTATAAAAATTATTTGTTATGTATTAAAAATTCGCTTCACTACAAAATATAGTTTCGTTATTACATATATGCATCAATATTTACTTTTAATTTTATTTAGAGATCCTTAATTCTCTCTCTCCTTGGATAATTATGGAATAATCTATCTATGATCTATTGTGAACTTTAAAATTAATCTTTTAATTAATATTTAGTTTATGATTGTTTTAGTTTAAATATTCAAAAATAAGTTAATTATTTATCTAAAATAAATTAAACAAAGTACATGAATTTTTTTATAGAATATTAAATAAATACATAGGTATATTGAGAGTGTATTTAAAAACACAACTTAATTAAATATTTGTTTAATAATATTTTTTATATGAAGTTTATCCTATAAATTTGGCTATATATAAAAATTTTTAAAATAAATTTTTAAAATTGGAAAATTATTATTAGAATCATAAATTATTGCAAAGGAATTTCTTATGAGTACCGTCTTGGTATTGTATTTATGTCATGACTCACGAAATGGATTTTTACCTTTATATACAATCTATTGATAATAGGTGTTAAACTTAATTTTTAAAGAGTTTAATCATTAATTTAAAAGTTGTTATTATGCATGCTAACTTTATAAAATTTTATATAGTTATAGACAATTAATCAAAGTAATTTATTTTAACATGTAATATACTTTTAAAATATAAATAAATGTCACATTTTAAATAATATACATATAAAGATTTAAATTATGTAAAATTATATATGTATATATATATATAATTATGGATATAATTTAAGATAATTAAATAGTTGAATTAATTAATCTCGCATTGTATAAAAATTTATAAAGTGATGTAAATATAGAAATAAATTTTTAAATATTTCTTAATTTATTTTCATTTCAACTTTTATGAAATTGGATTTGTCAAATTAATTAACTTTTCACTTTGATTCATATGCATAAAAAAAAATATAAAAAAATCTCCCCACCCACTACTTGAGCTACTCTATATATGGTGTGTGTAACAAAGCTTCACTGCCAAAGAAAACTAGTAACCAAAAGAACAATGTCTGCATTCACCAAAAGCGTTCTCCTTCTATGGGTGCTTACATTGCTATCAGCCAACACAGTTGTTCTTGCAAGAACCCGTGTTAGGATCATAAATGCTTTGAGTGGGAACCAGCCCTTGAGCGTTCACTGCAAATCTAAAGACGATGATCTAGGACAACACACTGTGTATCCTGGTAGTTTCTATGAATTTAGTTTTGGAATTAGCTACATTGGGGAAACACTGTTCTTTTGTTCCTTTCAATGGTCTGGTGCCTCTCACAATTTTGATATCTACAGATATAAAAGGGATGACAAAGTATGCGGCGATGGCTGCTTTTGGAATATCAAGCAAACTGGACCATGTAGAGTTCTACCTGCCCCATCCCCTACACCTCCTTGTTTTCCCTGGAATTAATATTTCATTTTCAAACAATAATGTTATATTTATATCTTAATATATATTCTGCTTCATGGCTTCATAATTCAATCATATATTCCTGCATATACCCAACTCGAGCTTTCTTGTCTTCGTAAACAAGGTCAAGATTAATGTTTCGTCATAACAATCAACAAAGACTCTGGTGAGGAAACAATGAATAGATTTAGATTCTCTCGTTTTGTGTTTTCCTGAATATGCATGTTAGAGACCAAGTTATACTAATTAAGTATGCTTAAAATATCAATTAAGTGTTTTATACGTGGACTGAGAGAGTAAAAATACGTGTTCATGCACCGTTTAATGACATTTTTTCAGTAATATAATTTAAAAATTAACCATTAAATTAGGGTATGTTTGTTTTCCATTTTTAAAATATAGCATAAATTTTATACTATATTTAAAAAAAAAATTTGAAAACTTTTTTTACAAGAGAAATCAAACATATCCTTAGAAGTTCTAATTATATACATTATATTTACAAAATTTTATATCAATTTAAAATTATTTGATATCTTATTCTTATACATATTTAAAAATTAATATAATTTTTTTGAAATATATAAAAAATATTTCTTGAATTACATTTAATAAAATTTTACATAAAGGACCAAGCCACTTGGTCCAGCTGCAATACATAAAAATACTGTGTATCGTTAATTTAAAATATCTTTAAGATAAGTGTCTCTTTTATATTTATAATGTATTTTTAAAATGTCTATATATATAAACGATATATATAATATTAATTTTTACTAATTTAAATAACAGAATTGTCTAATATATACATCCTCCACGAGTTTTAAACCTTTTATAAATGTTTAACTATTGATATAAATTTTATAATATTTTATAAAGGACAGAGAATTACTTTGTATGACAAACTCATAAAAAATAAATAAAATAATCACAAAGAGGATATAGTATCAATTTTTTTTAAACTTAAATAAAATCAAATAAAAAGTTATATATAAATTTTTTTAAATAGTGTAGTAGTTAATAATATTATAAATGTTAAATTGTTATAGTAAGTTTGCAGTTGAACTTTTATTACATGGGTTACTCATGGCCGTAGTTGGATGTATGTTTTATTTAAATCTAATAATAATGATAATAAAAGAAGTAAGGAAAAGTCAAGAAAAGTGCATCCTCTCATTAAAGCTTTCATAAAATATATTTACTATAAAAAATATAAATATTCATAACAAAAACTACTAAGTGTTAAAATAGTTTTTATCAATATAATTTTTATTTAATGTCAAACATATTATTAATATAAATTTTAAAGTTTATACTAATGAGGTAAAATATTTATATACTATAAATATATAAAATAATAATATAATACATTATCTATTAATATATATATATATATATATATATATATTCAAAGTTTGTATTAATCATTTATTTTTTTAAAACATTATATTAATAAATACTAGTGTTTATTTAATTTTTTTATAAAAATAAAAAATAAACAATCAATCTCTATATTATAAATGAAAGTATTCTAAAAAATGAGACGTGATTTTAAAGATTTAAATTAATTGATAATAATTAAATACAGTGATTAGTATCTAACCATAAATTATTATGTGAATAAAAAAATTAATATAAAAATGAAAGTGCATATATGGAGTAGTCCGAAAAGGAGATGAACAACAGAGGAGAGGGTGAAATGAGTGTGTTAGGAAGAAGTATTTTGGTACTATGGGTGTTGCTATCAGCTAACACCGCGTTTGGCACAACGCATGTGGTGGTGACAAATTATTTGAAAGGGAGTCCTTCCCTAACCTTTCACTGCCAATCTGAAGATAGCGATCTGGGACGCCAAACACTGAGTTCAGGGGAATCCTTTGGGTGGAAATTCGACATTGACAGATCGAATCCAGCAACGTATTATTGTGCCTTTGAATGGGAAGGGATCGCTTATTTGTTCGAAATATTCGAATTTGAAAGGGATGCAGAGATATGCGGTGGCACTTACTGCTATTGGAGTATCGAGCGAGAGTCACCGTGTAGGTACAATCCTCAGACGATGCGTTATGATTGCTTTCCATGGTCGACTCACTAACAGCACTCTTATTATGTCTTCCTTCAAATTTCCCCATCTGAATAAACTTTCAGGAATCAACTTTTTAAATTCATTCTTTATATCTTTCTGTGCTTTTATTTCTTATTTTTTCTTTTTTTCAATTGTTAGAGTTGAAATCTTCTTTTTAAACTAAGATTAATGTTAGTAACACATTAATGTAACACACTTTTTTAATATTTTTTATTATTGATTAAAGTTTATTAAAAATTAAAAAATATAAAAGAAACATTTATTTTATTTTATTTTTTAATAAATTTTAACCAATATTTATAAAGAGTGTGAAGTTATTATTATTTATTTTTCTTTTTTAAAAAATAATCGCTTAAAATATAATTAGGTTTCCTTGTCTTGATTTTTTAATTAAACAATAAAAGGAAAAGGAAATAATTGGAATATTTCAAGCATTGTTAATTATTATAATAATTAAATAATATATTAAATTAAAAGAAGAGAGAAAAAATGAATAAAACAATAAAAAGTGTTCAAATAAATATTAATTTTATAAGTATAATAATAGCGATTTATTTCTTTTATAAAAAAAATATATATATTATAAGAAAAAAATATATCAAATATAACATAGACATTATAAAACTATTATTTTAACATAAATTGTTTTTTTTAAAATTATTATATTTTATTATTTTAATATATATTATTTGTGATTATAAAGTCAAATTAAAATAATTTTAAAAACTTTTATTATATATTTATATATAATTATTTACGAAAAAAAAATTATTTATTAAATTATATATATTTGTTCTAAATTAAATTCTACCAGCATTACATGAGTTATTAAATAGTATTAAAAAAAAGGATCATGAAGTTAAAAGTAATACATAAATTATAATATATTTTAAAAATTTAAATTGTTACTTTATTTTTCTTTATTACCTTATATAAAATTTTAATATATTTCTATGAATTTATTTTTATATTTATAAAAATTATCTTAATTTTTTTTTAAAGAGTTCAATCTCTTAAATTTATTGATATTAATATATATTAGTTGTTGACATTTAATTCAAAAATTATTTTGACATTATATGATAAAATTATTATTTTAAATAAATATATTTTAAAAATTATTTTATTTTATTAAAATTTTAATATATACTATTTATAATCATAGAGTTAAATTAAAATATTTTTAAAAAATAACATTTTAAAATTAATTTTACTATACTAAAAAATAAAATTAATTTTTTAATTATTATATTATATGCATATTTATTATAAAATAAAATATATATGCGTTATAAGAAATACTAAATAATATAACAGAATTATACATAAGTTTAAAAAAATATTAATTCTCATTAAAATTATATTTAGAATGAGGTTGAACAAAAAATTATTACAATTTAATTTTAATAAATTAAGCGAGCAAATATTAATTTTTATTATTAACTTTTGTAAATTAGGTGTTAGATTAATTAACATAATTCTAATTTAATGCTACCTAACGATACATGATAAACTTTTATCTTAATCAGCACACAATATATAAAAATATTTAATTTTTTTTTTATCCTTATAACTAACAAAGAATTACATTTTACGTTAAGTTGTTCTTGGCAAACGTTGTGGGCATCTCCATCAACCATATGGTAATTGCTGAAGGTTACGAGTGTGGACAACAGCATCTACAGGCAAATATTGAAAAAGTTACATTATTTGCAAGGAGTTATCAAAATAAATATTAATAAAATCACGTAACATAGATGTTGCACTTGCCATTAATTTATTACCTATTTTAAAAAATATCTTAATTATGAGAGTACCCAAACAATGCCCTAATAATAATAAAAATATGTTAGATGAGATAAGATCGAAAACCAATTAAAAAATAACGAATTAAATACATCTTTACGAATGTAAAAGTAATATGTTTGTAATAAAATATTATAATAATAGTGATATAAAAATATTTATAAATATTTTATTTTATATATTTGAATATATTTAAAATGTTTAAAGTTAAAAACCATGTATTGAGAATGACTAAAAGATAGAATTTTGTCCACACGAAAAACACAAAAAGAACAGCATAGCTTAGAGGTAAAATTATAAAATAAAAATGATGATTTTGTAATTTTTTTTTCACGTTAAACTAATCTTTTGGTTATATATGTACATACATACACATATATGGGACATATATTCACTTATAAAATCTTCGATCTTATTTATTAGCAAAAATTAATTCATAAACAATAATAAAAATATTTATATTTTACTAATTTATATTTTATTTCAAAAATGTCTGTAATATTAAATGATTAAATTAGTATATTATATATTAAATAAATAAATGTATTTACTTTTATGAATAAACAAAAGTATAATTTTTTTAATAATTAATGCATCTAAAAAATAATTTTAATTTTTCATACATTTAAAACAAAAAATATTAATAATTATTTTTTATAGATAATATAAAAAAGTTATAACAAATTACAGCTTAAATGTATTTTAAAAAATATCAAAATTATAACGTTAATATATTATTTCTAAAGAATAAGTAGGTGTATGTTCACAATTATAAATATTAGTATATACTCACTTGTTTTTAGTCAAATTATGTTAGTAAGGTACACTTTGAATTTATTTTTAAAAAATTATAGTTATAAACAATTAACATACTTCTTATAAATCTATAAACTATTAACATGCAGATGTCTGTCATTTATTAATATACACGAACATTTTTTAAAATAAATTTTATAGTAAGTTATAATTATAATTTTCTTAAAATACATTAATGACGAGTCCTGCTAACGTACTTGAATTAAAAAAAAATTAAGTTAATGCATATTAACACCTAAGTTATTAATTACATTCATGTATCTACTTGTTGGAATGAGTACGTTAAGATTTG